AAATTGTCCAGAAGACAAAATTGTGAATCTAAACCATTCCCAGATCCCCTTGAACACACACAAAAAATTTCGTCAAAATCGGTCCAGTCGTTTGAGAGAAGTTCAGTGATATACACACTCACAGAAGAATTATATATATTTTTGAATTCATATTGGGAGGATAAGATTGTGTCATATCATGGCATTACGTCATCATGTCATGGATTTGTGTCATTCTTATTTTTCGTTTTCATTCCAAAGAAAATAACAATAAAATTTCTTTTCCTACCACAACCAAGAACGATTAATTAAAATATAATTTTCTTTTATTACTACACGGACAATAAAAACTGCTGACCTATCATTACTTCGGTTGAATATTAGTTGTTACTAAGGACTATTTTTATTACGAAATTAAATCAACACTATATAAATACCGCGGATTCGTTCATTTTAATATATTATTTAATATACCGTTGTCTGTGTTAGTAGATATACTTTAAATGCCCTTAAATGTTATTTCCATTGTAGTTTTTTCTCGATAAAATTTATTTATTTATTTAATCATCATTGTGTAAATATCTTGTCCGTATTAACTTGAAATCCTATATAATTCTTTTTTTCACAGACATTTTTACTTGATTCAATATCAACATTTCTTTTTCCTGTAGATATTCCTAAATAGTCAGTGGTGGCCTAGTGGTTAAAAGGCCCTCCTCTCATGCATGAGGGCGCGGGTTCGATCCTAACCCTGGCAAGTACCAATGTGATTTTTCCGAGTCATATGTACTTACTAAGAGTATTTAGACATCACTGACTAACGCATTAACAAAGAGAGTTGATGTCAGGCAGGCGGCCGGTCGTAAAAACAATTAGACAAAACTATTCACAACATGTAAGGCAGACCCTGGCTGAAGCTGCAAATTGCCAGGTAGAAGAGGATACCTCAATTATTATCTATATTCATATTATAAAAGAACAATTCTGTAAGCTCGTCAAAGTGTATTATACTCGTAAGTGTAACATAAAAACATTGATACCAATAACTCAAACCACAGGAGTGAGGCGATTCCTTTCACTATTTTGATGCAATATTATCAAGGACTTGACTGATCGAAATTACATATATATAGATATTCAAATTTATTTATATTAAACATATGTTTATATGAGATTTTTAACATATAGAAAATAAGTATTTTTTAAAAATCTGTCATTATTTTCGTCATTATTAGGTACTCTTCATGAAAGGATTAATTTATTATATTATATTATTATAAACATCTATTGAATATCGTAAATATATATATATATATATATATATATATATATATATAAATAAACACATAAATAAAGTCATAAATGAATAAATAGATAAAATAAATATATGTAATTGCTTGTATTGAACACACTTAAATTAATTAACTCCTGTTTAAAAAGAAAATAAAAATGTAAGTATGTATTGTCTATATGTTGAAATAAATGACATATACTATATAAACTTTATACCAAAATTTTATATTAAATGTATAAAAAACTAAATGAGAAAGTGATTCGGATATTAGAAGTCAAAACTCAAAAGGTCACCACACGACCTTGAACGTACAAACTAGTTAGATCTCTTCCGTAAAATGTATATTATTTAAATATTTCTTCATCTTATTTATTTAATTTCAATAAATTACAATAATCGTAAAATCTATGACAAACTTTGTATTACCTTCGTAAGACATTTTCGTAATAAATATTTTCTATTTTGCGAAACTTTTGATTTCGTTGTACGATATTGAATATTTAAGAAACAATCCGTACTATGATTTGGTTAGAAAAGATAATAAAAATTATAAGAGATTTTTTTCTAAAGATCTGCATAACATGTATTTTTTTTGTTAATCAAAGAAATTAAACAGTAAAATTATATATATAAAGAAATATATAAAATATTTCACTCTTAAAATTTATTTTTTATGATCTGTACAAGATTTTAATTTAAATTATAACAAAACTTTTTTATGTCGGCTGAATAAGGAATACTTACGGATAATTTTTTAGTGCTATAAAACCTCCTTGGACATAAAACTTTTTATACATTAAAAGGACAATGTCCACTCCATTCAGCCAATATCCTTATTATTATTTCACATATGATACATTCTTAACATTTGCTAAGCATTGACCCCCATATAGCAGCCAAATTCCACCGTCTAATTCTAATATAGTACAAAACAAAATGTCAGACGCAAGAACAGGTAAAGGTCGTCTTTGTGAGCCGCTCAATTAAAAATGGCGGCTTACATATAATGATTATTAAATATTTCATAGAAATAACAAATTACTTGATGCGAATAGGGTTCTATTATTTATTTTCCTCGTAATAAATATTATTGAAAAAATGTTTTACAATAAACTAGCGTGTGTGGAGATTTTGATTAATTCAAAATAAGTTGTGACTAAAATAGTAGTAGGGTCAAAGACTAAAACATAAGGGTAAGAATACATCATAATTGTATAAAGATTTAGGTAAAGAAGTATAAAACTTATAAGTGTAGAGTATTTTCATTGATAACTTTAAACAAAACATCCATATCATTTAAAATTTCCGTACACTTTTGAGGCTTTAAGTATACGAACTTTTAAATTCAGATCCTAAAAGTATTTTATATTGAAGAATCTTCTATTTTACAACATTTTCTTTAAGTAAAAGACGTTAATTTAGTTCACCAAAAACCAATTATAAATATATGCTAGAATTAAATTTCAAAATCACAATTCAAATATCGATCCATCAAATTTTGCTATATATATAAGACCTTTTTTACGCAACCTCTTACACGAATCCTGTAAGAACCTTGTTATTTTGTATTATCTGTATAAATTCTTATCTATTATTATCTATTCTATGTCATATCGTTCTTGACATGCTTGTCCAACCTTCGAGTTATGGTTTATTAATTTATTTATTCTTGATAATGATTTTCATGAATATTTAGTTACTGTTAGTCACGTGTCAGATGTATACGGTTGAGTTTTAAATTTAAATTTCATTAGAATATCCCTACTAATATTATAAATGCGAAAGTAACTCTGTCTGTCTGTTTGTTACTCTTTCACGCCTAAACCACTGAACTGATTTTAATGAAATTTGGTACAGACATAGAGTTGATCTTAAGAAAGAATATAGGATAGTTTTTATCTCAGACTTTTGAAAGGTTCTCTTGGAATATAACCGAACTCCACGCGGGCGAAGCTGCGAGCGGAAAGCTAGTAATAAATATATTTAATGTTAATTTTATTGTCACAGATAAAAAAAGATTAATCCAGGCAGAATAATGCTAAACTTAACGAGTATTGTTTTCTTAATTTTCCTTGTAAGTCTTAATTGTGTTTAATGAATAAACAACAATTATCGTAATAACATTTGACATGTTATATTAATTGATAATTAAGAAAATTAATTCAGTGATTATTTGTATCAGTACTTATAAGGTACTACTGCGTTCTTATCATTAAATGGCTATTCCAAAGATTATACAGAGAAACGTGAATTGAAATTAATTAAATATAGCTATGTACAGCCCGTGACTTTGTTTGCATTTAAATGAAACAAATTTTTTCGGATTTACTACTCGATATTTTATTTTTGGTTATAAACTACATACTTCCGACATTTCGGTTACTTTACAGCAACCGTGATCACGGACAGACGAGATGTGAAATAAAATACATAGTAAATCCGAAAATATTAGTTTCATTTAAATGAGTACGCGCGAAAACGAAAATCTTAGATATCATTATTTGTTTGCATTGTCGAGGTTTTATTTTTGATATATTTATATATTTATTTGGAATAATAAAGGAATATTGAAATCTTTCTATCATCAATAAAGTTAGACTATTAGTAGTTCCCGCGTGTGTTAAGCAACAGTTTATCTAATCCAACATGTGATGGGTTACCGTGTGCTATTAGAATCTTGATATCCACCATTAAATAGCAACTATATGTATGTTTGCATATATTAACATATCTCGTAAATGTTCATATATTTCGTGATACACTCTACAGCTATACGAATTGAAGTTAGGACCACATTATGTGTGTGTGTGTGTGTGTGTGTGTGTGTGTGTGTGTGTGTGTGTGTGTGTGTATGTGTGTGTGTGTATGATGATTTGTGACAACTGTGTCACTCCAAGTCTTAGTGTAGAATCAGTTATTCATATTGTGACTTGAGAGACGAATAATAAGAGTATATTCCAATTATTTCGGTCTGCGATGTGTGAAAAATAGAAAAGAAAAACAAAGTACATATGAATTAAGATGAAATTTGTATCATAAAAATATATAGAATTGAAGTGTATATTTGTCATAATAAATTGACTCTTATTTACTAATAACATATTGATGTATTTGAGACAAAAAAAATCTTTAATTTTTGTCCGTACTTCTGTTTGTACCATCTTATCTCCGAAACTATAGCACTCATTTTGACGTGAGTTTTACTGGCAAGTGGCAGATAGTTAATATAATAAGCATAACTTACACTACCTTTAGTTTATTTATTTACACAAATAAGGTCGCTGGCACACACACACACACACACACATACATATATATATGTATGCTATGTGAATTTCTTCCTTTCATTGATGTATACAGTATAGTCTATAGACTATACCTACATTTGAACGGATGTCCCAAGTCTAGACTGTATCTGTCTCTAGATAACCGCATTGGTACACTTATCCAGGAAATTGGTGATCCAGGGGTCAATGAACTCATGTACTCTGAACTAACGGCAGTATGTAGGAAATTTACCGTTGCTACAATGACATTACACAGTTCTGATGCAGACTTGGATTTATTAACTTCTGTTTACTTACTTACACTCTTTTTGGATGAAAGGAAATATAAAATAAATTAATGATTATTAATTTATTACTTATCAATCTATCAAAAATAATTAGAAACGATTGCATCTATAGATTTGGGGAACATTAATAAAAATATTAGTGGATTAGTGGAGATGTATCAGTTGCTAAGAAAAACCACGTCGAAATTGACTTGTGGTTGGTACGTCACTATTAATCTGTCTGTAAGGGCCACAAAATCTTCCTTAAATCCTGCTCGACCAATCGGTACGCATATAATCTTGCTTAAAATAAACGCTATCTGAAAAACATGGATAAGTAAGAAACAAAATGTTTTACAGTAGCTATTATTTGGGTTTTTTTCTGCTATGGCTTATTCAGACTGGAACTGTGGAGTAGCAAATATCAACATTTAATTTTATGAACGAACTATATCGTCTTAGGGAGTAATACTATTTTTTTTATTACTATATATATTGCCATTCCTTAGAATAACTATTTATTTCTGATTCTAAATCTGTCTTAAATTATGTTATTGAAACTACCATTGCTTAGTTTGAACTACTTATAAAGCAAATAATATTAGTTAACTTTAGCGCTTTGTTTATTATTTTGTGATATCGTTGAAAGTATATTATTGTATGAAATTTAATAACAGAAAATATGTAACTCTAGCTTAGTAGAGTAACGTTAGAACTTGCGTTTCCAACGAGTACGTAAATAGATCTGTATTTAACTTACTACAAGTTTACTAAATCAGCACATACTAAGGGTATAACGTTTCTTTTTCTTCTTCTACCTGGCAATTTCCCATCTTTAGCCAGGGTCTGCCTTACATGTTGTGAATAGTTTTGGCTAATTATTTTTACGACCGGGCGCCTGCCTGACATCAACCCTATTTGGTAATGTATTAAACAGTGATGTCTAAATACTTACTCTCAGAAAGTACATATGACTCGGAAAAATCATATTGGCATTTGCCAATACCAGTAAGTACCAATGTGATTTTTCAGAGTCATATGTACTTTCTGAGTGTATTTAGACACCACTGACATACGGTGAAGGAAAACATCGTCAGGAAACCTGAACTTATAGTTTCACAATTATAAGTTTGAAATCACCAACCTGTCCAATTAATGCTCAAACCTTCTCTATGTGGGAAAGAGGCCTTTGCTCAGCAGTGGGCGTCTGATAGGCTGATGATGATGTTGATGGTACTTGCCAGTATCGAACCCTCATGCATGAGAGGCGGGCCTTTAAACCACTAGGCCACCACTGACTACTAAGAGTATCACGTTTATCAGTCAATAACAAACTTTAATACTATAACGTGAGAAGATTATTAAAAACTGTTAACGCGTTATATGTAGTATCGATTCAAACTAGGAGTAAGCAATGTATAAACAATTTTAAACGAAAAGTGTACTGACTGAAAACGAAAAATGTAACTAGAGAAATTAAAGAAACTCATACTAAAGATTATAGCATTGTATAATTTTGAATCCATTCAATTACTTTCTCAATTAAAATGAGACAGATGTTTGAACTAACAGGTACAACTCAAATATTAACAAAGTTATCGGATTTCGCTTACAAATCTAAAATAAATATGACTACTACGCGTGAGAAATATCAACGTTTGCAAAAAGTTAAATCATCGAATAAAATTATTGTTAGTATTATTTGTACAAAATCTAATACAGTATTTAAATTGCACTATTTGGTAAGGACTATTACTTTGTAGTCAGAATAATCGTAAAACAAATTAATAATAGGTTTTAAATATCTTAAAGAAATAATATGGTAGTGTTTTTATTAGGTTTTGAAGATATTTTTAAACCTCAAACCTCATTTGCTATTGAGAATTGACGATTATTTCTCAAGAAACTTAATCTTTACGAGAATAAATAAAGATAGCTTGTAGCTTAACACATTAAATGAACAAATAAGAAGCATTTTAAAAAACGAATATTACCTTCTTTCACAAAAAAAAAATCTCCTTAGCAACCATGCTTATATCAATTATATGTACAACATACTATATATCTCGTTATATAGAACATATAAATATATAATTATGTTTATTTACATGATGCAATTTCCGCATATCTGCTTAGGTGCAAATGACTCATGATATATAATAATTAGAACAATAAATATCTGCATCCAATTATATTAAAATTCTTGATTATTACAATTATAGTATACATGACTACTAAATATTATTCTTATATGGATAAAGAGACGAAACTTCTCATTATTCAATGTATTCACCGTGTGGGTGTCGGGTCCATCGTTGTAGTGAGAGGAGCTTCAACAGTGCCTGGGACTTGTGACCCAGGTGTAGGTTTAAGGGTTTAAGGGTTTTATCTAACGCACGTTAAACGCTCAAGAAAACAAAATAAATATTCACAAATCTTTGATTCGTTAAGAACTTCAGCATTTAAATAAATTGACGTACTGGTAACTAAGTATATAACATTTTTCGCAAAGATTTTAATAAATAAAGTAGTCATAGTCTATCCATACAAAAACTTAATCGAAAATTATCACAAGATAATTCTCTATATTTGTAGTCTATACTTAATACTTAAATGTTTCTATTTGTTTCTTATATATACTGATTGTTGTATAATAGTTAGTTATTTTGTATACTATACGAAAATTTTACTAAGTGTACGTCTTATATTTAATTGGCCTAATTGGTTTCAAAATCATTTTATTTATTGCGCATTTCTTTATAAAAACGATAATATTTACTTACTCCCAGATTTAATTTTGAAAGTAAATTATGCTCACATCTTTTAAAACCTTTCCAACCAATAATACAATATAAATCTATATATCTTTGCCGTTATATTATTCTTATGTGTATATAAATGTTGTCACTTCATTTTCTCTCCTGGGACATTTTGTTAGAATACTGTCCTTGTATACAAAACAATAACACACACACAAACATAACTGTGATATTTTTATGTTAATGCTAGCTTTCCGCCCGCAGCTTCGCCCGCGTGGAGTTCGGTTATATCGCGTTTCCAAGAGAACCTTTCAAAAGTCTGGGATAAAAACTATTCTATGTTCTTTCTCAAGGTCAACTCTATCTCCGTACCAAATTTCATTAAAATCAGTTCAGTGGTTTAGGCGTGAAAACGTAACAAACAGACAGACAGAGTTACTTTCGCATTTATAATATAAGGGATAATTATTAAAGATGTGGTTGTGAGCTCATCACGTCTAAACTACTTATTGTAATCTTTCCATACTCTAGATATACATATGTTTCAGTTAATTTGCCTAGTTTAATTGCTATGATACTTCGCCCTTATCTAAATGTATATAGTCACTAAATTAAAACAATTATTATATGAGTATCGCGTGTAAAATGATACATATATTCTTGTGTATACAAGTTAGGTAAAAACTAAAATATCAAAGTAACTGAACAAAGTCACGGGTATTGGCTAGTGAAAAATAATATTTCATTATATATATAGAACAATTTAATACATAGTTAAGTCAGTATGTGTATTAGGAAGTTCTCTTTATAAATATGGAAGTACTAATAGTGTTGCTAGTACCTACCTAATAATAATTTTATTATTTCTAACTAAATCTTTCCCATAATATCTATGCATATTAGTTATAAACGTAATGATTTTCACAGTTTAGAAAATAATTTTATTATATATACTGTTACTTAAGAATAACTACAAAATATAAATAAAATTAATATACATATATCCCAGAAAACTATGATTTTTTTTACAGATAACGTATAAATATTGTAAAGTTAAAAAAGTCAATATTTCTTTTATTTACGGTAGTGAGGATAATATTATTATACTATGAACGATATTATTTTATATCAAATTATTATAATTATAACAAGACCTCGAGGTATTTGAGTAGTTTTTTATTTAACATAATATTTATCGAGCTTCAATTAGAAGCTCAGCGGTAAAGCGTATTTTGTACTGATGACAACCACATTATTTTTATTATGGCGGCTTTTTTAATGTTGCCAGATAAATATTAAATTAAATTTTAATGGTAATATTAATAATTACTATCAATTAAATAGTTGTAAACTGATCAATTTATTTCATTTGGATTTTAAGATATTTTTTAACAGATTTTTGTAACACGTAATCGTCATTACTATGACAGGGTAAATGAAGATTTACAATTCAAATTGCAATTACAGTAATCTGTGCAATCGATACAGAACGTGACTAATTAGTTGTTTTGCAATTTTGTTTTCGAAAACTAATTAAGTAACAAACTACACAAGTAACGGTAGTGTCGATAAGACTATTAAACAGAAGTTACATTCATTTTGAATCAGTAATTTAAAAGATTTATACATATACTAGCTTTCCGCCCGCAGCTTCGCCCGCGTGGAGTTCGGTTATATCGCGTTTTCAAGAGAACCTTTCAAAAATCTGGGATAAAAACTATCCTATGTTCAAATTTCATTAAAATCAGTTCAGTGGTTTAGGCGTGAAAGCGTAACAGACAGACAGACAGAGTTACTTTCGCATTTATAATATTAGTAGGGATAAATCTTACATATATTTTTTTAGTGTAAGATGCATTCTTAAAAAAACGTCGTTTTGTTTTTTGACAGTAATGAGATCTAAAATCTTTTGCGAGTATTCATTTAAATGAAACTAATATTTCTCAAATTATATACTACTCGTATTTTATTATTATTAAAAACTACATACTCAAATAGTTTCGGTTACTTTTAGTTTCATTCGGTTCTATTAATATAGATCATGTTTTCAACAATAATATTGTACTGTCTTGTCACCCAGTTTTTCCATTTGTAAGCCAGATGCCGTATGATTTATCTCGTGACATTAATAACAAACACTGTTACTTATTGAAGACAAGCCATTTAAAAGAAATTCTTCACCTTTTTACACTTTTATGAATAATAGATTTAATTAAAAAAAATATTATTTAAGTCACTAATGATAATTTGTTATATTATTAATAAATATTAAAATAAAATATTAAGGTATATATTTATTACATTTTACATATGTATACATAAATATGGCTTTATTTTTTATTCATTTTAATCATATTTTTTTTCTATTTTGTATCTTCATATATAATATTTGTTCTGCTGACGCTACTCCGGACCCCATGTTGTCATAGTGAACTATAAATACACGCTGTTTACATAAAAATATCTCGCTTGGTTCCTCGTTTCAGCCTTTGATGTTTGAGTTTCGTATTACTAAGGATAATTTAAAATATAATTCAAACACAATATAACATTTATATGGAGTTTTTTAAATAGGAAAAAAAAATTATTTGACTTTAATAAATATCTATACTTAATATGTATATAAACAAAAGACGTCTGTTTAAATGGAAAATCATTTTCTTCAATAATAAATGGACACGTTTATTTCAGTACACTTGTGTTGCATCATTTTAAGTCCAGTCAAGTGCTCTCGAGCTGAATTAGTACCTTACATTATAATAATTGAAGTGCATAGGATCAAGATACCACGATTAATTTTAGATATTCGCTTGAAGTGTCTCAGAAATTATTTACAGCGCCATCTCTTAGCCGTACTTTGAAACTAAAATAAGACGATATAAGGAGGTTTTATAAGTCTTAAAAAGTATAATAAATTGTGTTTCTCTCTATAATAAGCTAAATTACCATTTCATTTTTATAATGTCCTTTTCTCGTGTCATGAATTATGATCAAAAGCAATTTGTTGAATACAATTGGCTTAATCTGACAATAACGAGGTCAAGGGGTTAGTTGTAGTGTGAACTAACTTTTTGCGTCTCATCTCAGTTATTCATCCTCAAAGATTGCGTTTAAGTAATTGCTTGATGCGATAAACCTTTTTATTCAGTGGCTATAACTAATTATATGGCATTTTCAATAATGTGCCATTTTTATAGTATCACGATTTTTATGAATCTATACTAATATTATAAAGCTGAAGAGTTTGTTTGTTTGTTTGTTTGTTTGTTTGTTTGAAAGCGCTAATCTCCGAAACTACTGGTTAGAATTGAATAATTCTTTTTGTGTTGGATAGTCCAGTTATCGAGGAAGGCTGTAGGCTATATAAAATCACGCTACGACCAATAGGAGCAAAGATATAGTGGTAAATGTGTAAAAAACGGGAGAAATTATTTCATCTTTGACGCCTTCCGTTGCGTGCGCCGTGAAAACGGTTTAAGATACACAAAAAATATGTGTTAAAGAATAATAGCTCTTTTAATGATCTAAAAAACAGTCCGCGACAGTATATGTCTATCTTTTAAGATGAACTCACAAAAACCGTTTTTATGGTACCTAATTTGGTCGAAATAATTTGTTTAAGTTGTATCAACATAATAATATTAATCTTTATTCAAATAAACAAATAAATATGTTGTTGGTTAAGAGTACTTCATTGTGAATAAAAAAAACATAGGTTTTATCCTGAAAATTCTACGGGAACTCAATCATTCCGAAAACCCCGAAAGAACGGGAACTATGTGGGAAGAACCAAAAATCTGCCGGAAGTCACTATTCCAGGCGGACGAAGTCGCGGCAAAAGCTATTTTAACATAATAATGAAACTATTATGAATATACAATATTTAAGGAGAATACTCGGTACATGATTCTCATTCGAATTATGTAAAAAAAATAGGTACTTAATTTTTGACCAAACTTCCGTATAAATAAATAAAGTGTGGATATGTTCCAAGTGTGGACGCGTGCTGATACAACACCACGCCGCGCGCGCGAGTGTGTGTGTGTGTGTATACCTAATCTGTAGGGTGTTCACACGATGCGTAATTAATTACATAACTTTTGGTTAACTTTACTTAGAAGTTTATTAATATTTATTTTATAATAATTTTTATTTTGTCATATATGATCGTCAAATATCACGTCCTCAAGTATCAATAGTAATTCACCAGTCACCCTGTATGTCAACATAATAATGAAACTAATATATATTTTCTTGACTAAAGAGGTTAATTCAAATATGTAGTTTTTTATGTATATAATTTTAGGAGATTAGCATCAAAACAGAAGTTTAAATATATGGAAAAAATACTGCTTTAAATTATGTTAAAGAGGTTACTATTCGATACTATCAAGAATCACTATTTATGTACATTTTTCCACGATACAGCCCGCATGCTATTTCAATGAGAACCGACTAACATTCACGGAAAACAGAATTTAGTCCTACTTGGAAATAACACAAAGGTTACAAATAAAGTTAAGTTTCTAATAAAACTAAGGATAATTAGTATGGATTTATCGTCAAATATACATAATGTATAAAGTTATGACATAGTTCAAAAACTTTGAAGACGTTGCTTACTAGTTGGGTAGTGATAACTATAAATACTAAGGGTACATTATTTTTTAAATTAAATGTAAAATCATGCAACGCACAATTAGACATGTTTTTAGAAGTTATATTATTAATTATATTATATATAATTAAATTCTCCAAGTTATTCAGAAGTATGTGGGTAGGTAGAAAAATATTATTTGCAAAGTCAAAATATTGTAAATTAAAACATGTACAGTTAAAAAATACAAAATAATTAAATTCAAAATTAAATTTATAATATATATATTTCTAAGTTTATTCCTACGAATGCTTCATCCATATTTTTCACAAGCATAGTTTTGTTAACATGTAGCGCCATCTATGATTGCATGACTAAACTAATGTTTGTTTAATTGTTCAATTTACATACTTTAAATTATAAAAATAATTATATTTTAGAGATAATGAATAGGATTATAATATTTAATTCTATTTCTAACTTTTTACCAATATGTTATGAGAAAAAATTATTATATAAAGCGTGCTTGTACATATAAAGGTATATATACTTATAATTTCTTCCACTGCAAATAGTATATTAAATTTTTTCATGTTTTACTTTACAATTGACCGATGGGGGATTTAAATGTTGTGGCTATATCAATGATGAGAAATTTAAACCTTATTATAACAGGCATAAAGTTTAATTTTATAAGGATTTCATAGCCAATTAAGGCTCTAATTATAAATCGTATTATTATTGATTATTATTCGTTTGTTCCAGGTGTTCAGAGTGTGTGATGGTCCGCTGGGTCATAGTCCTGCTGGTGGCTGTAGCTTGCCACGCCGCCACACTCGACTCGGAACTAGGCGTCGGCAAATCCATCAACATATTCATGAGGTTACAACACTTGACAATTAATTACTGTATTAAAAGCAGAATAAGATAAAGTAGACGTATGAGTAGCTGAAACTATATTTCGGATATAATACACGTGCTTTATTTTTGTAAAACTATGTAGTATACTCCCGACGTTTCGGTTACTTTTCAACAGTGATTCCGGGCAGACGAGATGTAGTTTTGTACAAAAATAAAGCACGCGTAGTATATCCAAAAAATATTAGTTTCATTTAAATCAATAAAACTGGTAAAAGTCTTAGATCTCATTATGAGGGAGTAGCTATTTATTATAAATGAAACTAATATTTTCCGGATTTACTATTTTGAACTACATACTCCCGAAGTTTCGATTAGGTACTTTGCAGCAATGATAACGGGCAGACGAGATGTGAGTGATGTGAGTAATGAGTATGTATTTTTTTAAAAATAATAAAATACACGTGTAATCTGATATATTAGTTTCTGATATTTTAGATATCAGCTATTTATTTTATTTGGCCTTTAATTTTCTATTATGCTTTAAGTGTATTTATACAATTTATTTTACGTAGAAGCTATGCCTAAAGTTTCAGAAGCGGGTATAAAAAGGGTCTTAGGCCATTTGCTTTACGTTCTATCCCACTGAGTAATGAGTGATGCCTTCTTAGTTTTCATGCTAAGTGGAGCCAAGACTAAAGTCTTAGTCTACAACATTCATGCTATTCTTTCTTATTTACGTAAATTAATGAAAAATAATTTATGAAGCTACACCAAAAGCCGATGACGATGATTATAATACTACCTATATAGGTATCAGATTTCCTTAAATAATAAGCAGATCAAAATCAAGTATATAATGTTATATAAGGTACTATTCTATCTATGATAAAATCTACGAAGAATTTAATCAAACACACACAGATAAATCCTGGCCCTGGCAAGTACCAGTTATTTTCCCGAATCATATGTACTTTCTAAGAGTATTTAGACATCACTGATTAATGCATTCCCAAAGAGGGTTGATGTCAGGCAGGCGGCCGATCGTAAAAACAATTAGCCAAAACTATATATGTATTTCTCAACATGTAACGCAGACACTGGCTAAAGCTGGGAAATTGCCAGGTAGAAGAAAGATATAAACAACTCATTTTTCTAAACCCTGCCTCTCAATCAGAACACCTGAGCACTTATTTTGATTCATATTCAAGAATCCAACACCGACCAGTATAATACAAAATGTCTTTAATCTATTTGCTATAAGAACGCCTGACTCACTCAGTCTTTTGTGCCGTCAATCATAATAACATTTACGGCCACAATCACCATTTGCATGCTGTATTTTTTTATTTGGACATTAGTATAGAGAAACGAGAATTGCTTTATTGGATAATTTCTTTGGAGATACTTTTATTGTCTGTTGTTGTTGATACATTCGTTTTTCTTAATTTGGACGAATGAATGAACGTTATGTTCTATATTTAGTATTTTATTCATTATTTTGACTAATTCTTTACATAACGTAGCTTGAAAAGGATAATGATTTTGATAAAATGACAAAATTTTATATAAAATGTACTTTATTATCTAAAAACAACACAAATATAAATGATTTATATAATAATATTTAAGTGTCTACAAATATTTTTGTTTTCAAGTCCCTAAGAATATTTGAATGAACTGATTTTATTTTTTCTATCCGTCTGTATTTAAGTTTTTTTTTTACGTGAATGGTGGCAAACGAGCAGACGGCCCACTTAATGGAAGGTGGTTACCTCGCCCATTGACATCCGCAACATCTTGATTGCGTTGCCAACCTTGTTTTTTAGGGATAGGGAGGGGTGGGAATAAGGAAATGGTAGGAAAGGGTAGGAATAGGGAAATGGTAGGAAAGGGTGGGAATAGGGAAAGGGCAACCGGCTCTCTCACTCATCAGACGAAACGCAGCCATTAAAGGCTACTTCACGCCGATCTTCTGTGAGAGGGTGGTACTTCCCCGATCGAGCCAGCCCATGTTCGAGCTGTAGTAACTAAACTACAGCTCGACTCTACCATCTATAAACCACCACCTATATACCACCTATAAGTATTTTAACAATGGTCTTTAGAAATTTATTATAAGTAATATTTAAAGTGGGGTAGATTACTGAAATCAGTAAATAACAAGAAAATCCGTAAGAAAGACTAGTTTTATAATAATTATATTGCTAAAATTTTATTTCTATCTGCGTTAGCGAATATATTTTTCATCAAATATTAATTAATTTTCTTTTTTTCCTTTTAACGACAGACGAAAATTATAGAATTTAAATCACGTGCAATATAACGTTGGCATAATATTCAACGATTCCAGTACGAATGAAGTCATAGAATAAAAAAAAAAGTTGACATTACAGATGAATGAAATGGTGCTATTTCTCACATGTACTTAGTAATATAATAAAATATTTGTTTATACAGGACAGCACATTGTTTAATCACGCAACAGTCAGCTAATGTTTCTAAACGATTCTTCCATATTTGTGTTTAAAAGTCCGTTACAAGTCTTTGTTCTGTGTAAAACTTCACATGGCATTACAGACTTATTGTAATTTACAGAATAATAACATCGAATAAAATAACATTCTTTATAATCATTAAAATCATATAAATATCATTGGATTCCGAAGCAAGTATATCATATAACATCATATTTCTTCAATAATTCCTATTAGATTCTTCTTGATGGCAATTTCCCAGCTTTAGCCAGGGTCTGCCTTACATGTTGTGAATAGTTTTGGCTAATTGTTTTTTCAACCGCCGCCTGCCTGACATCAACTATCTCTGGGAATGCATTAATCAGTGATGTCTAAATACTCTAAGAAAGTACATAAGAACAAAAAAAATCACATTGGTACTTGCCAGGATCTAACCCGCGCCCTCATGCATGAGAGGCGGGCCCTTTAACCACTAGGCCACCACTGACTGAATTCCTACCAGATTAACAGTTCGATTATTCATTCCAGATATGGCTACCTCAGTATATGCATGCGGGTGGTACCACGCAATGATACAGATGGTTGGGTCTTCAGAGAGCCTACGGTCAGCGTATTCAAAGACGTGGAGCAGTTGGTGGTCGCCCCAAAACCTAGAACAGCTAAAACGCTCTTCGACGGAGATTTCCACATGGAGTTCTGCGATAACTTGAAGCAGCTGTTGCAGGCGTACTTTAGAGACTTCAGTTTTGAAAGGTATTATTATTATTATTATTATGTCAAAGGCAAATGAGCAGACGGCCTACTGAGCAGTAATGACCCTCGCCTATAGATTTCCGCAACATAGATGTTATAGATGCGTTGCCAACCATGATTGGTAAGGAAAAGAGAGAGTTGGGAATAGGGAAATAGCAGGAAATAATGGAATAGGGTATAAGCAATATTATATTACAAAGAAAACTTAAGTTTGGGACGTAAAATTTACATTAAATTACAAAATATAATATCATATAACCAGTATAAATTGATCTACCCACCGAGATATAATAACGCTTCTAGGACCTAAACAATATATTGCTCTTAATGATTATATCTGAAACAAAAAAAAAATCCTTCAATTGTTTTTCTAGTCCTAATTATATCTTTTTTTTTTGTATATATTTCAGGTTAGAACGTCCTTGGCGTGCATTTACAGCTGGTTGGCCAACTGACATCATGGCTAGAAACCTTGGCATCAATTCATCATTCATCACCGGTGATCATTGCTACGTGCTAGTGAGGGTATCCAGGTAATAAATAACTTCAATTCTAGGGTAATTCAAGGTAATTAATAACTTCTTCCTCTAGAAGAACAACTTCAATATAACCCCTCAAAATGTTTATGACTTATAATTAGATTGTCTTTGGAATTCTGGTTAAAATATTAGTGAGGCAAGAATAACAAATTTTATAAAAAAAACTTGAAAGGTGCTTAAAATATACTAAAGTTTTGGTTGTTGAGTTATCTTTCCAGAATGGGAAATTTTAATCTAGCCAAAGTTGATTAATAATTAGCAAAATATTAAAGGCTGTATAATTTTGGACCTACAATATATAGAACAACTAGCTGCACCCCGCGGTGTTACCCAGATTTCCGGGATGTAAAGTAGCCTATGTGTTATTCCTGGACGTCAGCTTCCTGTATACAAAATTTTATCAAAAGCGTTTCAGCCGTTTGAGCGTGAAGAAGTAACAAACATGCACACACACTCACAATTATAATATTAGTAGGAAGTAGGATATAATTAAAAAAAAACTGTCAATAAATAAATTATCAATTATCAGGTTTCGTGAAACGGCCAAGCTGAAAGACATACCGACAGATATTTCCGTAGAAGATGTAGTTTACGAGGCGATTGATGAAACAAACGTCGGCGACACGGTGTCCATAGCTGACTTCATACGGAAATACGGGTCGCATTATATAGCGTCGTATGTCACTGGGAACTCACTGTATCAGGTGAGTTGGATAGATATATATAGTTCAACAAAGATATAGATAAAAAAAAAAACATTCAAAATTGACACTGATTTTATAAGGAAAAAATAAATAATAGTTATTTTTTATTAGATATGTGATTAAAGCTAAAATCAAGAATATGGCTTCCGTATTAAAATTATATCAGCACTATAACAGAAATATGTATAAAACTTCCATACATTTACCAAGCAGATAAAAAATTGAAGAAAATATCCTATCAAAATACAGTTTTGTATATAATTTTCTTTTACGTATAATAATCAATTAACTTGGTATAAATACAGTATTGAGCATGTTTTACAACAACGTGTTTAACCGCGTGGGACGGATCACGTTAGTAACGTGAGCCTGTTTACAAAACTTGAGCTTATTTTGAAAATCGTCAATCGTTTACCTGATAGCGTTTGACTCACTCAATATTTCATTACACAGCGCTGTCTTATATATATCAATTTATTGTTTTTAAATATTTTATGGCATTCCATTGTAAATGGCCTGTAATAGTTTTTATTTATATTGGATTAATTAAACCTTTTTATTATGTTATTTTGATTTTTTTAATAGCATTTAGTTGTAAATGGCCTGTTATTTTAATTACTTTTGATTTATATTGGAATTATGAAACGTTTTTCCATTATTACAATAATTCCAAAGATATTCCATTCCAATATCAGAATACACATTTTGTTTGTTTGTTTTAAACTTTACGTAATTTTAAAATTAAGACAGTTTGGAATTAACGTTTAGAAGATTTCAAGATAATATTTCCAGCGAGATACATTTAATAAAAAGTTTTACGAATTTTGGCGGGTAAACTAATTGGTATCGAAAATGAATACGTCAATCTAACAGAACACCGTTCGGAAATCTTTATTCTTGTCCCAACTATCTTCGTTCTGAAATCTGATTAGTATTATTTATTATTATAAGGTATTCGTGTTCTCTCGTGGCGTGTACTCTCGTATACGGGAGCGGGTCAAGTCGCAGGGCGTGGGTTCTATTCCGCCAACTGACATCGACAATTACTTCTCGCCGCTGTATGCCGAACATATAGGAGCTGTCAAGGTTGGCTGTTGATGATGATAGGGTTGCCACCTTCGAGTTTTAGACTTCCAATAAATACTCTCTAATAACTTATCGCTTATAAGTCTCTTCTCAAGACTAAGTAGTGAATTAGTTTGTATTAATTTTAATTCAAATGAATTTTTAACAAGAAAGTGGCAACCCTATTATTGTAAGTCTAACAACAGTAATACGATGTATCATGCTTCGTATTCAAACATCTTTTCTATTCATCTCATAATTATCATCTTCATAGAAAATCATAATTTTTTTTAAATTTCATACTCCGTTTTGATATTGGCATTTCATATTCATTCATAATATTGTTCTTGAAAAAATTTCTATAAAGTGCGGATAAAAAGTCTAAATAAAACATCTAGAGAGCAAAAAATGTTGTTTTAAATACTAAAACTATAAATATTAATAATAGTATGAGGTATAATAGAAAAGAGGTTTGATTCCAACCTTTGAGACACCATAGACAATGAGTACACGCCACGAATAGATAAAATAAAATAAATAAATCCGTGAATCCTGTCTATGCTCTCACTCCAGGTGTTTGTGTTCTCTAGAACCGTATACTCAGTTATCAAAGAAAGACTTAAAAGCAAAGGCGTCGCCGACATTACAGCCAAGGAGCTCGAAGGATATTTCTCACCCTGGCAAGCAAAACATATCGGTCAGATAAAGGTAGCTAAAACCTCATTAATCATTCATTTACATATAACATCTATCTTATTCTATTCTTTTTAATCTGTGAGTATTTTGACAGTTGAAGTTTTAAATGTCACATTTTGACAGGTCGCGAGCGGCAACAAAACCGTTGAGAGTTGGGCAATGAAGAAATTAAGAGTACATTATTATATTTTCTCATACCCGAGTCTGTTGAAGTTGCACGGGGAGCCGGCGTTGTTGAGAAACTTGGACACGTTGCTTGGCAACGAAGCGTTACTACAGCTCGAACTGAAAACACTATCTCCAGCTTTCAAAGACGTTAAAAAGAAAAAGTGGTTCGAAGAAGTTATAGACAATTATTTGAAATTATGGGAGAGTAATATGTGATAATGGTGATAATTAGATAATGTAGGATTTAGTCGTTTTCAAATTTATTATATTTTTTGTATCAGCGCCATCTATGTGTGATTGTTGGAACTTTATATAATAGTACATCAACAAAATTATTGATATTTTAGAACTATTTTTACAAAAAATGTATTATATTGGATTTGAATGTGATACCAATATTTACAAAATGAACCACAAATTTTAGACGAAAATTTTTATATTACACAAATATATATATATATATTTATAGTTATTTATGATATTTAATTAATTGTAATATTTTTAAGATTTACACTTTTACATAAATAGTTAAATATACTTTAATATTGATAATTGCGTACAGCGCCATCTAGATCGGTTTAAGTAAACTAAATACACGATGGGAACAGCGATTTATGTGCAATAACATCTTTTAATATAAAAAATATGTACAAATAAATAATGCGGGATCAAAAGTGAATGCATTTAAATCACAATCTTATATGTAAATATATGAAGTCAGTTATTAAATAAAATTGATTGTGATCGTATAGTTTTTTTTTTATTTCCCTAATAGATCGAAGATTTGTCATTTAAATACACAATTGGATCGTTTTTTTATTACAGACTATGAATATTTTTTTCTTAGATTAATCCTAAAAGATAATCTGTCCCAATTACCGCAGCTTCCTATGACGAAATGGTTTATTGTCTCTAACTTTATCAAAAGCAAACCAATCTGTACGATAATGTGTCATTCAACTTAAGATTTAGTCGGTTTCTTGTCTAAATTTGGCGAAGTTTTTAAATTCTTTGTTCAATCTTAAGCCTCGATTTTGAAAAAAAAAAATATTAACATTTTTTTATCTATACAACTGTCATTGCAATTTATTATGGTTTTGGACGTAAGAGAAAATTTATAATAATTATATTAATTATTATAATATATAACAAATATCACAAAACCCCAGATAAATGTAATTCACATATAGTTCATAGGTTATCACGGAACGTGGCTCACAACTGACAACCTTGGATTTTTTTACGAGTACTTAAATACATTTTAAATGGAACGTGACGTTAGAAAACTTAGTTTAGAAGGTTTGATTATATATAAAATAGGTTATAATATATTTGATTAGTTATTAACGATCGTACAACTGAAAAATAGTTCATATATATATTTTCTTTTTTGTTTACAGCCTTATAGTTTCTGTCGGCTGTATGAATTTATGCCTTGGTTTAGTTTTAAAAAAGTAATTGATATCCATAATTAAAATTTAAGCAATGTCAGTCATGTTATTTATTAGTTAAAACAATTGTTAGTTTAGTAAGATTTTATTCAAAAAATCCGATTTTCTATATACACACTAACGTGTACCATACCCGGACTATAAACACGCAATTAAATTTAACATATATATCTAATAGTAATAGTTAAGTGGAATTTATTTTATCTCTCAGTTTTGACCTATTAAACTATTTAGCGCTAATTCTAGTACGTATACGACGTTACTTTGAGATATAATAAAACAGTACTTGGATTTTCTTTAAGTAAAATAGTATTAATCATGAAATTCATTAAAGATTTACGAAATATTATAATGATAATAAACTAATCTTAGGTCAAGTTCAACATGTTTCGTTTAGCGAAATGTTAAAAAACCTCGTCAGTCTAAACGCCGCCCGCATCCGATGTGATTGCTTCCCGTTATGTTAATCATTTGTCACGGAATATGTTTTTGTTATTTTTGGCTATTTTCTTCTGTTGCGGACTCTGTGATAGCGAGGAAGGAGATCTGGGATACAGTTTGAGCATTGGCAATGCTATTGATGTGTTCGCTAAGTAAGTTTAAATACGATATATCTATATTTATTATTTAAACGAGATTTATTATAAAAATCCAAAGAGTTGATTTATTTTTTTTATATTAATGCAATATTTGTGTATTTTTCGTGATTTTGTTATTTAGTTTGTCGGTAAGTAATTGATCTTGACTTGTGAGATATCGAAATGATTGTTATTATCATAAGTATTTTTTTATTTATTAACTCTCAGTTGCTGTTTTGATAATTGTTCTATTATTTTATATTAAGTATATGAACCATTTACCAAGACAAAAAAATGTCGTCTTAAAAACAGAATTTTACTGAAATCTCTATTAAATATTACATTCATAAATTTATAATATACCTAATAATAACCTCGTAGATATAATTTTTTACGGATTCAATTTAATATTGATATTATATATAAATGTGATAAGACTGTTAAAGGCACGATAATAATTTATATATAGTTATAAATTTTTAACTAAACAGTTATTTTGACTGACAGTTATGGAGATTTATCTCAAGTTACCCAAGTAGTGTCTGCTGATTATGAAGATGAGAATGAAGATTCTATAGAGCCTTTCAGAGAAAAGAATATCAGGGTCTTTGAAAACGTCAGCAGTGTGGAAAGACTTGGAGATACTATGATGGACATGACGATACTCCTTTGTGAGACCTTCGAAGATTTACTGTCCACATACTTTCAGAACTTCAAAATTGAAGGGTGAGGAAATTTTCTATTTTCTTCCGATTATAGGCACAGATAATTAAACTCTACAGATTACTACGCTTTTTGAAGATAAAATTTGATATAAAGACAAACAAATAAATGCACACTTAAGTAGATCTTAAAATTTTGCGAGTTTTATTTTTTGAAACTACATACTCATGACGTTTCGGCAACTTTTCAGCAACCGTGATCACGGGCAGACGAGATCACGGTTGCTGAAAAGTAGCTGAAATGACGGGAGTATGTAGTTATTATCAAAAATAAAGTCTTGTAGTACAGCCAAAAAATAATAGTTTTATTTAAATGAACTACAAATACATTTCATAATGAATATATGTACAGACCGTGTTTTTGTTTGTAGTACAGAAAAACCATGGAAGGCGTTTTTGGGTGACTGGATCTACGACGAGATCATGAGGACTTTCGGTATTGAGTTCGACTCGAAATCCGACAACTGCTGTTACGTTCTTGTCAAGCTGTCAAAAGTGTACAAATCTGTCAAAATGGACACATCCAGGGAGATCAGGGTGAAGGAATATGTCAAGTATGCTGTCGACAACTTGAATGTGTCGAATTCAGCAGAAGTGAGGCGGTTCATGAAAAGCTACGGCACACACTACATAGACTCATACGTGACCGGAAATTTTATATATCAGGTACTTATAATTAATTTTTGGAAAGAACGTGTCATTATTTGAAATTTCACGAAGAATTAACAACTATAACACCTTTTTTTTCCAAAAATGCTACCTTATCAAAAGAATGCAACATTCGTGGTAATTAACAAAATGTATACAATTTTATTTCCAGGTTTTTAAATACAAACGATCGGGTTATAATCTTCTTAAGTCGTATATACGACTACAGGATCGCCGTAAAAGTAATTCCGATAGTTTAAGGTTCTACTTCTCTTCCTATTTTCTTAAACAAGTGGGGGATATCAGGGTGAGTCATATAAATAACATCTTAGATAAAATTTATTTAATACATGTACTTATTTATATTTCTTTAAAAAGTTCTATTGCATTATTACAATTAAGTAAGTGAATATATACTTCTATTAAAAAAATAATAATATTTCATAGTACTATTTATATAATAATTAAATATTTTTTATTAGACTTCGTCCGCGTTAATTTCGGAATAAGTAATATATGTATAGCTGACCGGGCGAACTCTATTCCGACTTAGAGGCCGTAAATAACCAAATATTGGAATTATTTTTTTTTCTTTTTCAACCGAACAGAATTAACTATCTTATTCCCGTCTCCTGGTTCTAATATATCTCCTCACCAATTTTCAACCATATCCCTACAGCCGTTCTTGAGTTAAGTATAAATAGTGTAACTAACACAACTTTTTATTATAATACATATATAGAAAAACATATTACGAACGATCTATTTGCAAATTAAAGATTTCTTATCTTAAAGGGCATGATTAAAAATTATGACTATTATTATTTCAATCTCAAATTTTATAAATTACTAGCTTTTGCCGCGGCTTCGTCCGCGTGGAATAGTGACTTCCGGCAGATTTTTGGTTCTTCCCCCATACTTAGTTCCCGTTCTTGCGGGGTTTTCGGAATGGTCGAGTTCCCGTAGAATTTTCAGGATAAAACCTATGTTTTTTTTTATTCACAATGAAGTACTCTTAACTAACAACATATTTATTTGTTTATATGAATAAAGATTAATATTATTATGTTGATACAACTTAAACAAATTATTTCGATCAAATTAGGTACCATAAAAACGGTTTTTGTGAGTTAATCTTAAAAGATAGACATATACTCTCGCGGACTGTTTTTTAGATGATTAAAAGAGCTATTATTCTTTCATACATATTTTTTGTGTATCTTTAACGGAAGGCTTCAAAGATGAAATAATTTCTCCCGTTTTTTACACATTTACCACTATATCTTTGCTCCTATTAGTCGTAGCGTGATGTTATATAGCCTTCCTCGATAACTGGACTATCCAACACAAAAAGAATTATTCAATTCGAACCAGTAGTTTCGGAGATTAGCGCTTTCAAACAAACAAACAAACAAACAAACTCTTCAGCTTTATAATATTAGTATAGATATATAATAAAAGTATCCATTGCTTTTATTTAATTTACATATAAAAATCACTGATTTCTAAACTACATTGACTTACACAATTCAGTGACATTCAACAATATTTAATAATTCAATCGAGTATTATTGATAACATGATGTTACACAATTAATGCTGGAATTTGATACTCGCACAGATCTTGTTTGGTTTTATTAAATTTGCGGGCATTTGTATTATTTATAATAAACATGAATAACAAAAAGTTGTCAAACGATATGACTTTTATAGAAATGTCATTATCAATTTAAATGATTAGTTAGGTTAATACGTGAAGAAATTTGTCTCAAGAATCATATATACGAACAAAAGAATTAATATCATATCAATATACATATTATATATAATAAATACAATAAATTTAATTTAAAAGTTTAATTTTCAACAAATTGTGTTAAATATAAACATTTTAAGTCAATATTTATTCCGAAATGAATGCTTATTATGATAATAATTTTATTGAAAGTAGGCTTAAATATTTTTTTATTAGTTTTAATAACCTTTGAAGTTTTTATTTAGAATCATTTATGATTAGCGGTTGTAGAGAAAATAAGAATGTCATTTAACAAGATTGCAGTGTTACCAACTCTCAAAAGTATTTATGCCTAAAATTGGTGACAAAAACCACTTTAGTTCTTTTGTTTCCCCCAAAAAAATATAAATTCATAATGATGAAATGAATTTCTTTTCCAGATCGCCAGTGGCAATAAGAACTTGGAAGAATGGTCTCGAAATAACTTACGTGACAGTCAATATCTATTTTCAAGACCGAGTCTGTTAAGACTACATTATAATCCTATACTAGCTTTCAAACTCAATGGAATGCTTGACAACGGTGCTTTACTGGGACTCGGATTGAAAATACTAAAACCTATATTCAAAGATAAATACAAAATGGACAAGTACAGTGAAATAGTTGAAAACGACCTAAAACTATGGGAAGTAAACGCATAGGATATCGGAACTAGCTAAAAACATCACCTCTTACACCAGTATTTAATTAAAGAAAACTAAGTAACTTAAAAGATTTTTTCTTTATTAATACATTTAGTTTAAGTTACATAGAACAAATTCACATTTATTTCAGCACAATTTCATACAACCGTTACATTTATTATGAGATCTTGTTAGGACTTACATGGAAAAAAGTTAGAAGCGTCAACATACAAAATCTATATTAACATACAGACACCCAAAAAATTCTCTAGGCCACAGTTTTATATATACCACCCTGTCCCCGACATACATACAATTATAAGATATGCAGTTTAAGCTTATATTTAATCAGAAAATATATATGTCATCACTGTTGAAAATTATGTAAGTACATATTGAAAATATATATAAATTTTATATAAACAGACTAAGTCTAAATATTCCAAATATTTGGCCATCAAATTGTTTATCAATTCCTGTTCCCATTAATAACTTTATTAATTAATTAAAACAGTCTGTCTATACAACCCATATATAAGCTAATTCACTAATTATCAAGAAATCTGATTTCATTGAATATTGAAATCACATATATAATTGACAACATATGCGGAAAGAAGGTAAAAGCATCTACTGTTAATAATTAGAATATTTTAATATGATATTAATACTAATTAATTATATGAGATACAAAGCTTATCCTGTAATGTCAATGTTGGCATATTAGTTACAAAGGTTGGCTGAATATAACAAAAAATTATTAATTTACTTTCTTATGGGGCAACCCTAAACTTAAGTCATTTTATCAACTGTCAAGCAGTAACACTACTTTTGACACAATTTTGCTCGATATAATGCTAGTGATTTTCTATCACTGAATCGTCATGAATATTAACTCAAAATTTAATTTACTATATGTAAAAGTAATTCATTAAAACATAATAACAAATTATTGTTATTTTAGATTTCAACAATGTGGTATTGCCATATGAAGTATTTTAAGTATTTATATATAATAAACACACAATTTCATTGTGTTAATATTAACATATGTGATTGATGTACAAATTTTATGTAATGGTACTTAATTAAGGACATTAAACAGTCATATTGCAAAGATTCAACAAGTTTGCAACAATTTTGATTTGTTGGACCATTTTTGATCCGCATGCATTATTTCATCAATCTTTGGATACTTAAAATGCTTATTCAACCAAAGATTTTAGTGAATTTCATATGTGCTCTTGACTCTTGTGCAGGCAAACTGACAAAAATTCACACGTTTACCATTAATGAGTAAGTAGAGAGGATTATTCACTCTGATGCTCTTGAATTCATATTCCTGAAACATATAGATAGAAGATTAATACAAAATGTATTGTTATTTCAAACTATTTAATATCTGATTTAGCTTATTTATGTATATTATAGTGTATACTACTTTTATATATACAATTAACCAATAGTTTCCTTAGTAATAGTTGGTATACTCAACTTACACACCAACGTTTTGAAGTTTTCATAAACAATTTCATTGTATTTCATCGTAAATGACTATAAAGTTGTCAAGTTTATAACGTACCATCTATTTAATATATTTTTCGGTGTAGAAACTACAGTAGTATGTATTTATCGCTAAATGAATGAATTAAATCGATTGTTGAAAAACGTGATATTATTTTAACGTTTCTTTCTAAAGATGAATTCTTAATGCTTATTATTGGGCAATAATCTATATCAAAGTTTTTATTTATGATTTAAGAATAAACTAAGGCGAAAGATCTGCCAAAGAGTAACGCATAATAATGAAGATATAAATATATATCGGGGGCACCATTAATCCAACTATTATTAATAGAAAATTTTGTATGGGTGTATCGATATTATGTAAAACATATTGAAGGAATTTTGATGAAACTTTTATAACGTAGCACAGCCATCCGAATGAAATATAGGCTATAATTTCCCTTCATTAAGTTTAAACGGCACGGGAATACATCACAAGCTATGTATATCCAATCACATTGATGATAGATGTCACTTCTTCTCATTTATTAATTTCTCTGAACGCAGTAATAAATGATGTTAAGTCATAGACAAAAACAAGTATATCGTTAGGAATAGTGCAAATCCACGTAACTAGCATTAGATAATTCCAAATATCTACATTGAAAGCAGATCATCAGAAGAAAGTTTGAGCTGAAATATTTTCTATATTAACGACTTTTAAGGAAATTTTCTTTAAGAAAATATTTAGCTTAAACTTTCTTCTGATAATCTGCTCTCAATGTAGATACGCGGAATTATCCAATGGTAGTTATTTGGATTTGCACTATTCCCAAGTATATATACGTACCAAATCATCATGTGTGCCTTTATGATGTTGTATATTTGGTTCAGGGAGAGCGACCGCGTCTCCAACTACCGGGCCGCGACCTTCAGCCCAATTATACACAGACACCAGAACACATTGCATACTTTCATCTGTTAGGGCGAATGTACTGAAAATATAAGAAAACTATATGTAATGAAATGACATTTAATTAAATTAAAATTTGCCGAGCTTCGCGCGTTTGTAACTTGTCGGCAAGAGACGCGTCACTATTCACTAATGGCGAATTATGTTTAAGTTTTTGTGCACTTTATGATTATTACAACATGTAGAGAGATTAACTAAGGGATATAATTGAGGAGGCGATATTAGTGGACTTCAATGTCGTTTCTTTGTATTTTCAGAGAAACAAATTGTGGTTTGCTTTGAATGCCCTTGATAATATTCCTTATATTAGAGAGATAAAAAGATATGAATTTTTTTTTCGAAGAATACGATATTTACGGAATTCGTTTGGATTTTTTTTTTGGAAGAAACTTCAACTAGAGTTTAGAGTTTTTTGATTAGACGTAATTTTTGGCACCATATACCATTTTTGTTATTGTTACCCAAAAAATACAACTTTAAGCAAATATACAAGGTGACTGGTGAATTACTATCGATACTTGAGGACGTGATATTTGACGATCATATATGACAAAATAAAAATTAATATAACATAAATATTAATAAACTTCTGAGAAAAGTTAACCAAAAGTTGTGTAATTAATTACGCATCGTGTGAACACCCTACAGATTAGGTATACGCACACACTCACACATACGCGGCGGGGGCGTGGTGTTGTATCAGCACGCCGCCGCACGCGTCCACACTTGGAACACTTGGAACGAGTCCACACTTTATTTATTTATACGGAAATTTGGTCAAAAATTAAGTACCTATTTTTTATACATAATTCGATAGAGAATCATGTACCGAGTATGCTCCTTAAATATTGATAGTAATTCACCAGTCACCCTGTATATAGCTTTTGTGTGACTCAACAATAGATATTAGAGAGATAAAAAGAAATGAATGATTTTTTTTTGGGAAGAATATGTTATTCAAGGAATTCGATTGGATTTTTTTGGGAGAAACTTCAACTAGAGTTTAGAGTTTTTTTTTTGACTAGCTGACCCGGCAGACTTCGTACTGCCTCAATCAAGAAATAAATCATGTCTTATTTATTTTTTTGGTGTTTACCTTTAAGCCATAAATCTCCGTGTTCTGAAGTCCGACAAAATGATTGACATATTAGTTAGTTGTCAAATCTAATGTCAAAAAACTGTTTGTATGGGAAATAAAAAAGCGCTGTTTTTAGGGTTTTCCCGAAAATTAATAAAAAAAATTCAGCTTTTAAACCTTCCCTGAATCTCCACAAACATTTCAAGACTATGATAAGATAAATCCGTTCAGTCGTTCTCGAGTTTTAGTGAGACCAAAGAACAGCAATTCATTTTTATATACTTATATACTAGAAGACCTGGCGAACTTCGTATCGCCCTATAATGAAGAAATATCTGTTACGTTTTTTAATTTATATTTTAAGCCATAAATCTCCGTGTTTTGTAGTGCGACAGAATGATTGACATATTAGTTAGTTGTCAAATCTAATGTCAAAAAAAAACGTTTGTATGGGAAATAGAAAAGGGCTGTTTTTATGGTTTTCTCAGTAATGAATAATTTTTTTTCAGCTTTTATACCTTCCCTGAACCTCCACGAACATTTCAAGACTAAGATGAGATAAATCCGTTCAACCGTTCTCGAGTTTTAGCGAGACTAAGGAACAGCAATCCATTTTTATATACAGGGTGACTGGTGAATTACTATCGATATTTGAGGACGTGATATTTGACGATCATATATGACAAAATAAAAATTAATATAACATAAATATTAATAAACTTCTAAGTAAAGTTAACCAAAAGTTATGTAATTAATTACGCATCGTGTGAACACCCTACAGATTAGGTATACACACACAACACACGCGCGCGCGCAGGGGCGTGGTGTTGTATCAGCACGCCGCCGCACGCGTCCACACTTGAAACACTTGGAACGAGTCCACACTTTATTTATTTAGACGGAAATTTGGTCAAAAATTAAGTACCTATTTTTTTTACATAATTCGAATGAGAATCATGTACCGAGTATTCTCCTTAAATATTGATAGTAATTCACCAGTCACCCTGTATATAGAAGATAGATTTAACGTTATTTTTGGCACCATACAGGGCCGTGCCTGACGGGCGGTCATTGCGTGCACCGCACGCAGGCGACCGAAATTAAGAGGCGGCCAAATCGTTACAAGTTGTTTACTGGGCAAAAATACAATCGGTTTGTTTTCATTAAGATACGAAGTAAAAACAGTTTTCTAATCTAATCTATCTAAAAAGAGTTTCTCAGAAATAAGAAATGTATAAAAACTGATTAGGTCGTTGTAGTATTTATATACCTAGTCATGCAGTGAATCCGAATTTTTTCGAACATTGCACGAGCGACGAGCCGAAATAGTTTTTTCAATTGACCGGCGTCGCGTAAGCGGTCTTATTCGTCTTATTAGTCGTATTATAATAAACATTAAAAATTAAATAATAATAAACATTAAAAATTAAAGTAGTATTTTTTAATGTTATCCTGGGGGCGGCCATATAGACTGGCACGCAGGCGGCCATATACCCAGGCACGGCCCTGGCACCATATACCACTTTTGTTAGTGTTACCACAAAAATACAATTTTAAGCAAAATTTATATAGCTTTTGTGCGAATAATAAAATAAAGTACAGGTAATAAATGTATGTAACTCACAATGGCACACAATTCTCATGATGTATTGATCCGACGACACGTCCCAAGATAACTTTATTCTCATTGCTACCTTCTTGTAGCTTGTCAAGTGTCACATGCTCCAACAAAACATCTTTCCTGTTACCGAATATTTGGAAATTTTGTGGAAGATAGTCTCCCAGCATTCTCTGATCTATGGACTGAAAAAATATATGAAAATTGTTTAAAACAAAATTGTTAATAATTATAAGGCTTCATCTAATCATTGGCGTGATTTAAATATAACCCATTGCTCAAAAAATTGGATAAAAATATGCATGTAAGTCACTTTTATTGTAGCTTTCTAATTTATTTTAAAAAAATTAACCTAATTTCTTTTGTCTGTATCTTGAAGTTATTTCTAAACTAGGAGACAGATTTGAATATTTTCTGGAATGTAACACACTCACGACTACTCTTGCAACGCGATGACTTAGTTGATCTCCATTATATTATTTCTCTTAGATACGACTTAGCATATAGGGATAATAGCTTTAGGGAAAGGCTAGTCTATGTATACAAAACCACTTTATAAAAAGTATATTTTTTACATTTTTCTTTGTACATGTGTCAGAGTGTTTATTGAGCAGTTTTTTTAACGGCTACACCGATTTCGAATCGACATTCACTTGCATATAATCACTATCATTATAATAAGAATTTGGACCAGTTTTACTTACTTTTTAACATTAATAAAACAGACAATTCCGTGCAGAGAAAATTTAAGCAAAATATTATTAAGATTTCATACACATGATATTAGTATTTATAGATACGTAGTAGAGCGCCATTGCGTTGGATCTATCTATCGATCGTGCAGACATCAACAAGACTCAATTACGCAAACTGATGACCAAAACCACTCAAGAGTGATACCCACTAAGGAAATACTTACTCGCACCATATTCGCTAGTCTTTTAGCCTTGATTCTTCCCTTAGTTCTCACGAGTGTGGTTGCAGCTTGCAAGTGTGCTTTAAGAGCTGTTAGCTCACGAATAGCTGGAGCCCAGCCCGGATCGAGCTGCATCGCTGTACGAAACATCTCCAACGCTTCGTCGTACTGCTCTTCGTATTTCAACGCCTGTTAGATGTTCGTGATAATGTAAAATGTTATGATATAGCCTATAGCCCTACTAATATTATAAATGCGAAAGTAACTCTGTCTGTTTGTCTGTATGTTACGCTTTCACACCTAAAATAGTGAACTGATTTTAATGAAATTTGGTACAGAGATAGAGTTGACCTTGAGAAAGAACATAGGATAGTTTTTATAGTTAGTTTAATTTCATCATATCATTGTTTCCGAGTTGCAATTGTTAAAAACATGAGAGAGAATTTTCTGTAAAGGGTATTTTGTTTTTGAGATAGAAATTATGATCTTTTTTGTCCTTATAAGTTATAAGCCAAAACTTGCATTATATCTCATGTTAAAGCTATCTATGGTAATGCGAGAGTTTTCAAATGGATTGAATTCTATTTTCATTTATGGCACAGAAAAAAGTAGTTTTACTATTTGAGCCACAAACATTTTTATCATAGACTAAATTATTTTAAACAGTATTAGAATTAACAGTTGCTAATTTTGTTAATATTACAGTAATATGGCCTACTTACCACTCCTTTGTTATAATATAAATCCGGTTGACCCCTCGCTTTTGGATCTGACCAGGCTTGCTTGTAAGCACTCATACATAGCTTCAATGTTGCCGGATCTTGTTTAACCATGAAGAACTGACATAAATAAGCATTGCCGAGAACTGTCCATGATATACCATCCTTTGTATCTTGAGCTACAGCCTCTTTAGCCATTACAACACTAGCTAATATTGCTGACTTAGCTTCACTAGCGCTACCGGTGCTTTCTTGACGTAGTATTATTGAAAGGCATCGTAATGCTACACGATTACGTTCCTATAAATAAAATATTTTGTTATATATCATTCAAACATTTATTCTACCTGGCAATTTCCCAGCTTTAGCCAAGTTCTGCCTTATATGTTGTAAATAGTTTTAGCTAGTTGTTTCTAGTTGTTAGTCAGTGGTGGCCTAGTGGTTAAAAGGCACGCCTCTCGTTGCCAAGGGCGCGGGTTCGATCCTGGCCCGGGCAAGTACCAATGTGATTTTTCCGAGTCATATGTACTTTCTTAGATTATTTAGACATCACTGATTAGTGCTGATTCCCAAAAGAGGCTTGATGTCAGGCAGGCGGCCGGTCGTAAAAACAATTAGCCACAACTATTCAAAACATGTAAGACAGACCCTGGAAAAAGCTGGGAAATTGCCAGGTAGAAGAAGAAGTTTTTACTACCAGCCGCCTGCCTGACATCAACCCTCTTTGGGAAAGCCTTAATCACCACACTTGCTCAAGACGGGTTGGTGATTTCAAACTTATAATTGTGAAGTTATAAGTCCAGGTTTCCTCACGATTTTTTTCCTTCACCGTCTATCAGTGATGTCTAAACACTCTTAGAAAGTACATATGACTCGGAAAAATCACATTGGTACTTGCCAGGATCGAACATGCGCTCTCAAGCATGAAAGGCGGGCCTTTAACCACTAGGCCACCACTGACATCCTAATTTATTAAGGGATGATATAATTAATTGACTTAGTATAATAGCAGTGACTGACCATATTAAATAGATTGAGATATATCTTACATGTTTAAGAGCACCTTCAAAACTATTCTTAGCCTCCTTAACATTCATATTCTTCAGATAGCATTCACCGAGTTCGTTCCAGGCACTCACTAAATTGGGGTTTAGTTTCACCGCCTTGCTTAAACATTGGGCAGCTTGAGGATCATAGACCGAGCTAATATTATAGCATCTACCCTTCAAGTATAGGAATTCAGCTCGGAAAGGAAATGGGATTTGTGTGTCGACTGAAATATTTACAAAGATTACATATAGTATAGAATAATGGCCAAATATGTTACAATATTTATAACATATTAAGAACACTTGAACAAAGTGTCTTAGCCTTAACAAAGACTAATTATGTGTTATTGGACACATTCTTAGAACATATGTTAATGTAATAATTTTAGTCAAATTTATTTACTTATTAGTTATTAGTATATAGGCTAGCTTGTAAATTTAATCAAGTACTGTATACTTTATTAGGGGAAAAAAATAATTATATCATACCATCAATATTTTCAAATTTCTCGACTAGCTTCTGTTTTTTCTCTTCAACGCGTTTGTTTTTCTCTGGTGCCATTTCATAAGGATGGTTTTCAAAGAAAAGATCCCTAAAATCATACAGGTCCCGCAATTCTCGCTACAAATTAAATTTCAACATTAATATTTTCATTCAGTAATACACTTGAAATGGGTGCGGCGTGTTTCTGATCGAGGGGAAATATTTTCCAAAGAATGCACCTGTTTGAAATTTTAAGAAGATAATTAATGATTTAGAAGTCAATATAATGAAAACATGATTAAATTTTAAGTCATTATAGATATTTTATACGTAAAGTTAAAAGAATAAAAAGGAACTCTAAATGTATTTAAAAAAAATAAAAAAGTATTCGCAACACTTACAGACAAATTCAAAATTAGCTCTGATGCATCTTCCAGCACTTCCGCTGGTTCTTCCGTATCGTTCGACATTTTTATTTGTCCTAAAAGCCGATTATTAAATAAACAGGCTTATTTTCAATTTACTTTGTACACAAAAACATTTTCATCTCATTTAGACTTTTCAGCCTTTAGCCTCGATGAAAATGTCAATGCCAAAGTCTACTGTCATTTAGTTATTTAACAGAAATTTTAAATAAAAAATTTATCCGGCGGGCAAGGCTTAAGCTTATTTTATAAAGCCATATTATAAAAAATTAAGCATCTAGCTAATCGATCTTTTAAATAATTTTAATGTTATTACTTTTCTAAAGAATTTGTTTCCACTTAAAAAATATTCCTCGTGACCATTTCATATAAAGTAAAAAGCATTAAGTGAAATTAATTTATAATGACGACTTATAATAATAAATCCCGAATTAAAATTAATGACAAATGACATATTATAATAAGAATTGACAAACAAACCCCATCAAAACTCAAGTTCAAGTTCTGTCAAGCAAACAATTAATTGCTAGAAATTACGAAATTTTACGTAGGTAGTTATCAAAACAATTTATAAAACAAATTGCATTAAAGTTTAACAATGAAAACCGGACTTCTTTACGGAATCGTTGCAAACTCAAAAACTCGAATGCGTTGTGTATTTTGTGGGGTTTATATACCGAAGGCCACGAAATGTATTGAAGAGCACACAAATGGCACGAAACATAAAGAGAACATAGAACAAATGGCTGAGAACGGGATAAGCTTCAACCATTACGACGACCAATTGTACTGCAAGCCGTGTAACATTAATTTGGGGGAAGAAGAGTCAGTACCATCACATCTTGAATCCGACACCCACGCAAACTGGATGGCCGCTATGGACGACTTAATAGAAGGTGAGTTCATCAACGTAGATGCTTATCTGGCTGGCGAGAGTGAAGACGTATATTGCGAGGTCTGTAATTGCAAGATCACTTGTGTGCTCAGTAACATTGAGGAACATGTAAACGATATACTCCACCGCAGCAACGTAGCTGAGAAACTCAAACCATCAAATGGAATATTCCCCACCGAGAAAGACGATGAATTATGGTGCAAAGTATGCAATCAGCCAATTGAGAATACGGCTAGGAGCTTACTCTCACACATCGATGATAACTTTGTACACGTAATGTGGCTCATGGAAATGCAGGATCTCATTGAAACCCATGAAATATCTGTACAAGATTATCTTAAATGTAAAGAGGAGAAAAACGCCTATTGCAACAGATGCCAGGTCGAGATCCCTTGCAACATACAGAGCATCGAAGATCACATTGCGAACGGCGAACACTGAATTAAATTCATTAGTTTATTAATTTAAATTTTAACCCCATTTTGTTGTAGTTATTTATTTATAGATAGATGAATTGAAATCACAATTTTTATTTAATTTTTTTATCCAATATGAAATCAATATATATAATGCACTGATAAAATATAAAGATAAACAAGTTATTAGTTTTTTCTTAATGATAATGAATTTAAGAAAGACATTGCACATCAAAGCTATTGTATGAGAATTGTTTTAATTTTTACATTCCCCTGTAGTACCATTTTGTGTTCTATTATTTATGTAAACTATCTTTAATCTATGGATCTAAGTAGTGCTATCCATATATGTATTTTAATTTAAAGAAAAGACATGAATTTCCTGTATACTGTATTATATATAATATTAAAATATAGATCTGATTTATTTTATTTAGAATTTTAAAAAATATTTTTTAACACTGGTTGTTTACAATGCTACAAAAAAAGTGTATCTCGCTCTTGTAAACTGTTGTGGCTATATATTGTAAATAAAAAAAAGTTAAAACTTCAAATTCTATGTATTGAAATGTTTATAAAAGCATGCTATATAAATTATAAAATCATATATTTAAAAGAAAGCTGTTTCTCATAGCTATATATGTACATATAAAACCTGCAAAAAAAAATTAATCGGCTATAATAACAAAACATTTCAAATGTGTATAATATAGATAGTGAAATTATTTTTATTTATATTTATCCTTTTTTGCAGGTTTTATGACTTATAATTAATACTGTAGTTATTGGAATTGTTCAGAGAATTACATTACCAAATAAATAATATTTAAAGCTTTTTTTTTTATTTCTAATCCATATAATGCTAAAAAATATACGCTAGAAAAATACTAGAGAATATATTAATGATTTTCAAGTCGTTTATGTGATATATATATAATTGCCAATAAATGTTACTGAGTTACCAATTTGCCCCTTTATTGCGTTATAAACTTGCCAGTGACAATATTATTTGCCACTTTGTTGCCAGTTATAATAATTCTGATTACTCTATTGCCAGTTGCATTCTATTATAACTAATAAATAATCTATTCATAAGATTATGATACATTTTAGAAATCCACAATCATTTTGTTGACCATATCAGAAATCAAAGGGATAATCATTTTCATCTTCTTCTTGAATGACAGCCAATTGCCCTGAGGATTCTCTTGGTTTGGAGACATCTGATGAATGAGTGTTGCTTGTGGTTGTAATAGATTCAGACTGTTTAGGCTCTCCTTGGCGACTGCGAATCCTTTCTTCATCCAAACTTATCACGTGTATCAAATCATTGGCACAACAATCTATATTGGTGACAGCTTTACTTAATTTGTTCTGTAGTGTACTGAAATTTGATAAAATATGTATTTGTAATTAGATTGATAGATTTCGGTTCTGTTTGAAGTTTTTAATAATATTTTTATGTGAATTACTTACATAATTCTATTTATATTGTTCCTCAAATCTTTTAGAGTCCTTTTTAATTTAACTTGTTCCTCTCTCAATGTTCTGTTGACGTCGTCCTTTGTCAATTCTCCGGTTGGTCTGTGTGAGCGATTAGCTAATCTTGATTCAACCAATTTTTTCTGATTCATAGTTTCTATGACCGCCATTTCTGTGCATGTGAGTTCTTCTTGCAGTGAATCGTAATCTCTTGCAGCCTTTAGCAGGAAAGAATTAATTATACAATATGTATTTAAATCTTTTGTTGATTATGTGTTTTTTTTTTTGGATATACATTAATCATATTTGATACCTCTTCTCGCTGCCAATTGAGGTCTTGAAGTTTAATTTTATTAGTGTGCAGCCTTCTTCTCAGAATGGCGTCGACTTTTAAAGAAAACGCTTGAGCTGATATAGACAATTTCATTCTGGCTGCCCGAACCTAAAACATTACACTATTGTTCTAACATTCTGAAGCCAATAAATGTTTATTACCAACTTCTTATTGCATTCCCTTGCCCATATAATAGTTACCTGTTTTCTAGTAACTACAGCATTGCAAAGCGCTTTCAATCCTGACCTTTTCAGACGCGAACATCTTTTTTCCCATTGTTTTATTGGTGATCCTCTGTATTAAATAAAATAAGCACCGATTTAACGTTTTCTAGTGAGGAGACATTGCTATTGGGTAATGATGATGAATTTATTTACCTTTTCTTATTTTGGTTATGAGTAGGTGTATCTTCAGTAAAATGATTATTAAGACTAGATTCTTCTATTCTCAACGCCTGTTTTTTATTGCTAACGTCTCTATCTATAATTGTCTTTATACGTTCGATCCCAGATGTCTTTTTGTACAACTCTTCAATAAGATTTTCAAAATATTTTTTCTGATCGCGGAGAAATTCATATTCCTAAATGTGAATTCAATTACTTAGTAATAAATCAAGAACTTCAATGGATTATAAATGCCATGACAAATACGTTTAAAATTCTCTTTTTCTTTGATAAAAAAGTTTTGGTATAGTATAAAATATATTCACTTTTATTATTGACTCTTCAACATCATCAGTCAAAGGACACAGCGCTCCTCTTTGTGATCCATCGTTTGAGTTTTCTTTAATTTCGGTTTGCACTCGATCTACAACAACCCTCAGTGCGTTATGTTCATATTTTAAAGCGTCAATCGCTTCTTGCAAACGTTTTGATAGATCTTCTAGTACCCAATGCCACGACGCTATATCGGATATTCTAAAAAACAAGGAAAATGTGTTGTATTAATACAAGTTTGCATCATCAAACTGCATACTGGTAGTTAAGAGTTATTCATTCTTAAAACTTGTTGTAAAGATACTGATATTTATATATACCTATATGTTTAAGGTATATAAATGAGATGGAAGTTAGGGTTTCGAAAAGTTATCACTTATCAGTATTATATTTTGATTCTTTCATTTAGATTAAACAAAATATACTTATGTATTAGTCTGCGAATACAGAAATTGAGATGTATTATTATTATAGCGGTGTAAAAAAATTGTGGGAAATTACCAAATTATCTCCTGAAAGTATTTATATAAAAGTTAAAAGGATTAAACCACATTTAATAACTGACCGATCTTTCACACATCTCTTATATAGATAGTCATTTGATTCGCGCTCCAAGTCAGTAATCATCACCAGTTCCTGGTTTCCGCTTAACTGCTCCACCACTTTCTCACTGAGCTCATCACTAATTGCTCTCAATTTATCTATCCCCTTCGTGGCACCCAAACAAACATCCTCACAAAACATGTTTTTTATATATAAATGTGTAACCACAAACTTTTATACTACAAAAATAAATGTCACAACGATTTTGGTTTGTATAACCTTATGTCAGTTTTATTTTTTATATAAAAAAGTTTTATTGTGTTTTATATTGTCGTTCTATTAGGGCCGGAATACATGAGCGTTGATTTATGGTGATTGACTGATACTGATGATGTAAATTGATAGTTAAATTAATAACTTTTAAAGGTTCGACAAAAAAGTATAAGATATACACCTGAAATGGTATTGTAAACTCATATTACAAAAAATTGTACTGGTATCAATTTTCTACGTACCTACAACTAGATTGCAAATAACGAAACTTTCAATTTTGCTAACATTGTAGACCATTCACAATTTCATACGCTTGTAGTTATATATATACGAATGTTATGGTATGTTACTTTTCCCTTGATAAAAAACAAATCCCATATGGTTGTAAAATACCTATTTATTTTTTTTCTAGCTTTCCGCCCGTAGCTTCGCCCGTTCGGAGTTAGGAGATATCACGTTTCCAAGAGAACCTTTTAAAAGTCTGGGATAAAAACTATCCTATGTTCTTTCTCAAGATCAATTCTATCTCTGTACCAAATTTCATTAAAATCAGTTCAGTGGTTTAGGCGTGAAAGCGTAAGAGACAGACAGACAGATGTACTTTCGTATTTATATTTTACTAGCTTTCCGCCCGCAGCTTCGCCGCGTGGAGTTCGGTTATATCGCGTTTCCAAGAGAACCTTTCAAAAGTCTGGGATAAAAACTATCCTATGTTCTTTCTCAAGGTCAACTCTATCTCTGTACCGAATTTCATTAAAATCAGTTCAGTGGTTTAGGCGTGAAAGCGTAGCAGACAGACAGACAGACAGACAGACAGAGTTACTTTCGCATTTATAATATTAGTAGGGATAATATTAGTAGGGATGGCAAACGAGTAAACGGCTAACTTGATGGGCAGCAGTCTCCGTCACCCATGGACATTTGCAACGTAAGAGATGTTGCGGATGCAATGCCAACCTTGATTGTTGAGGAAGGAGGAGAGGGGAATAAGGAAATGGAAGGAAAGATTGGGAAATTGGAAAGGGAAATTAGCTCTTTTACTCATCGGACGAAAAGCAGCAATTTGATTACTTCATGCCGATCTTCTATGAGAAGGTGGAACAAAAATGGAAATTTGTTGTTTTATTACCTTAACAAATGTAGTTAGTTTAGTTAAAAAGAACCCAAAGATTCAATGTTTCTTCTTACTTAATATAAAGATATTGAGGTGTTATGTTATAGTAAAATTACGTTTTGCTTCATTTAATTTTTAAAATAGTTATATATAATGGAGGATCACCCCTACGTATGTTTTAACACTAACGATCAGGACAACTTTTTATCTCTTAGGATTAAAAGAAACTACGTAAGTATTTTAAATAATATTTATTTGTGCTGTATGCTTAGTCCCAGTTCCCATGGAAATACTACATACAGAGAGTTTGTAACAGTCTTGGATTTGTAAAACTTCGCACATTGTAGTATTAATTAAAGCGATTTAATGAGAAACCCGCCACGTTTCGTATCCAGTGTGACAATGCAAACTTCGACTAATCATTCAAGTCCGATCACTTTGTTTCCTCGAGCAAGAATCTTTAGACCTTTCAAAACAAAATGCTGTATATTTTTTTATTTGCACATTAGATTTTTCGTACTAAAAATTTTTATTTAACTGAGTATACTTCTACTTATAACATAAATGTTAGAGTTTCTGAAGATGTAGGTTTGTTTGTTGCTCTATCAAGCAAAAATTAAAGAATGGATTTTAATGAAGAGTCAATTATGTATCTTACATATCGAAATAATGCATAGGGTGTAGTTCTTGCGGGATTAAGGATTAAATTGTGTATATTGCTGACAATTATTTAAAATTGATATACAAATCAACTTTTACAACACCCATACACTACAATTCTTCATGAGTGCAACTATATGTTCACACAGACAAACTCACGTGAAAAAGCTAGTTAATTATCGACTTTATTATATCTAATATCATATTCTAATATCCTATGAGTTGATCCTATTATTAGTATTGATTTTAATGAGTCATAGTACTGAGTAGTAAGAAAATATATAAATAAACATAAAACAATAAATTTCATAACATTTTACATATGTTGTATCTATAGATAACAGTTATTCGATACAGCTTTCAGTATTTCCTAATTCTACTATGCTTTGGTTATGTTAAAATTCAATAATAACATCATTGACGACAATTAAATAACATTTTAAATACTAAAATTACGAGTACCTACATGACAAAACAATTGTTGATTACTTAAAATATTAAAATGTTTAACCGTCTATTTCACACAAACGATAATATATCCTAGTAATGTTTTTTTAGAGTTTAGTTTTGGTTGTATACATCTTTTAACGTGTTATGTATCGGTTTTAATATCACAAAATAAATTATTTCAGCTACACTTATTATACTAAATCCCAGGAAGAGACTTAGCAGTCCACCTATGGCACCTGAAACATATTTATAAGCACTTTATTCCTATGTTATAGTCAAAATATATGTATATACTGGTTCAACCGTTTAACTTAAGCGATGGGTCCGATGGCTCAAATTTCAGAGCGACTGAAAAGCTATGTCCCGATAGACGTAGGTTTGATTCATGTTTGTTTTAAATAACTTTTAATTTTGATTCATTAGTTGAGATAAAATACTTTTATGTGATCAAAAGTGCTTTTCATGAACTTCAAATATATATAAATTAAAGTGTATTTAAAAAGGTGATGCACAAAGTATATATTTTTATAAGAATGCTTTTGATTTAAAAATTACTAGCTGCAATCATCCACTGAGCATTGCATACACACTCATATAAGTAACTAAGATTTTTAAGGTATGCAATTTAAAAAAAAAAAACGTCAAATAGAAATGAAAATTAATGAAAATTTGTGTTTGACCTTTTCGACTTCGTTCAAAGAACAAAATAATCATGATTAAAATTTCAGCAGCTCTTCAATTCAGTAGCATTAGAAAATTTCTACTACACATTTAATTAATTACATCTAGCATTAGAAATAAGTCTTGACATATTTTTTTTGGGTAATGATAATAACTTTCGGTTGATTTGAAAGCCGTCAGTCAAAATGTCGCAAAAATATTATTAAAAAAACATTTTACCAGCGAAATAGAAGTCGTCGTATTGAGCGTGACGATGTTGACCTAGAAACATATCCGTGTAGAAATGTATGTTGATGCTTGTCCTCTCTCCTCTGCAATTAAAGAAAATATATATAAATACTAGCATTTGCCCGCTACTTCATCTGCCTTAGTTTCAGAATTAGAAATGTATAGCTGAGCGAACTCTATTTCTCTTTAAGGACAGTATAAGAATATTTTGGATTTGATCAACTTATTTTTTTACTTCTTTCGATCGGATGAAAAATATTCTATGTTCTTTCTCTTGTTCTAAGCTAATCTCTCCAACAATTTTCAGCCAAACTCTTACAGCTGTTCTTTTGTTATTAATAGTGCATTATGACGACTACTTTCTTTTATATATCAAGACATATATACATACTAATAACTGTAAATAACATATGTTAATAGAGAAAAAAAACTCCTGATTTAACAAAACAATTAGTGTGATTAAAATTGTTTCATTCGTCACTTCTATAGTAAACAATGGGTATCACTTTAAACTTTTTATCAAAGCTCTCTATTATATAAATAAAACAGAACGAACCAGTTTTTTTATGTGAGCAGACGCCACGGTTTTGATATATTTATGATTTCCATAATTTTGTACGTTACATATTAAAGTAAGTTATTAATTGGGTAAACAACTGGAAACACTTAATATTATTTGTGACAATTCGAATTTGTGGTAAGGAAAGTGATTGAAAAAAACCAACGCTAAAGGGAAACACATTTGATGAATATTGTGGTTATGTCTAAGTTGCTGACAGTCCAAGATATGTGGCAGATTGGTGTTGAATATAAAAAAAAATCTATAACAACTAAAGTCTAAACAAATAGCACAAATGAGAAACTAACTGGAACGGAGTAAATGTTGATTACCCCTGACAAAAAGAACTAGAAAACTTATTTAAATTAGACTTAAAGACATAAGCTTTTTACCTTGACCATGATACAGTATAAACCTGATAAAATTTTCGTCAACTTACTTAAAAATACCCCAATGGTTCTTATGATGGGTATCTTTGATGAGGTCAGAATAATAGACCTGGGTGGAATAAAGTACGTCATTACAGGCTGGGTAGCATGATGTAGCTGTCTCATGAGTATTACGCTGCTCCTCACTGTCAGCATAATACGCGAAGATCAGTTGTTCCCCAACTTTGGCTACACAAAACAGTATATTTGGTACCCTTGTTAAATATTTTGGACTATTTTTGCAATAATTACCTTTGACATCGGAAACACATTTATAATCTTCTCTTGTTGAACATATTCTGTCCGAAATATGTTTTCCTGTTAGACAAAAAAAGGTATAAAATCACCAAAATAATAGTGAAAAAAATGTATAGTCATAAACAAAAATGTATAGTCATAAACATACTTGGCCAATGAAATAGAACACAGTTACATTGTTTAATAGTTTTCCTGATTCTCAAATCTAATTTGCAGTTCGTATCTGTGTAGAATTTGTAATATTTGAGTTCTCTTTCATTTTGGAAGAAGCATTGTCTCTGTTCTGGTGAGAGTGCTCTTAAGGAACTATCAGTTTTGTAAGTGATTGCTGAAACCTCTACTGTGGTCATTCTGTCCATTGGTAGACGAAGAATTGTACTCTTGTAGACGTGTTCCGCTGGTGAACCTATTAAAACCTGAATAATATTTAAGATAACTGGTTTAAGGTTTGATGAAGACTCTTGAAGTAAAATCAATCAATCAACATATGTACAAAATTTACAACAAGCCGTTTTGGTTTTTGCCTATTAGTTTAAAGAGACATATATACAAGAATTTTTTGCATTTATAATATGAGTGAGCCTGATAACCTATATCACATAGAAAAATACATATTGTTTAGGATCCGCCGATTAATAAAATGGGACAGGAAATGAATGAATTCATCTGAGATAATACTTCTCTAGTATGAGTTATAATTGATAATAGTATTGATATTTATTATTAATACTTTGCATATAGTTTAGTAGTTAATCAGCTATATTATAATTAACTTTAATATCATTCCCATACTACGTCGCTAGAATAATTTTAAACTTTTATAACCCGGAATAAAAATAATGATGACAGATATGTAAACTTTCTTTTTGCCTGTAGTCATATATAATGATAAATGTAACAAATAAAAACATTGACATTGTCAAAATATTACACGATTCCAGTGCGAATGAAGCCTTAGCATTAAAAAAAATGCTTAATTCAAAATATTATAAATGCTTTTGCTTACGTTAAAGCCGATGTTATTTCCATCGCATTCAAATTGATGGTCACTTGTATTTAGATACAGTTCAATATCCAATCCGTTGACTTCACCCGACGCCATGACTCTGTATGGGAGCATCCCAGGCTTTGGTGGAAAAACCTTTGGATAACCACCATCTAAATCCCATTCTAGAGGAGATGTGGTTATAAATTTCGAGAACGAGTGTTGCCACTCTAATGTTCTGTTTGTCCTGTAGGGAATTTTTAAAAAGATCTTAAATCAACTTAAAATCTTGTCCGTAGAAAAATATTTGTTATTAAATAAGAAGGTGTTTTAATTGCAGTCGTCTGTGGCGAATAAAATGAAACAAGAAATCACTTAGGCTCGTGATTTTGATCAAGTTTAGCAAGGAACAACATCTTTTATATGTGTATTTTTTAAGGCTTAGTGCTAATTGACAACTCACATTCCATTTAATGGCAGGCCTTTGAATGTGTAACAAAGGCCATAGTCCGTGAATATAGGTTTCAGTAATTTCTCACAGCAGTCTATTTTCAATGTTTCCATTTCATATTCTGATCGCCAGTGACATACTTTTACAATTTCCGTGCAAGTTGGTGAAGCCTGAAAATGATTAATTTGAAAAGTTTACGCTAAATAACTATATGTATTTAGAATAAGTTAATAATCACGAGGCCAGAGAATAAACGTTTTCAGAGCTTTCACTTAACATACTATACAATCATATACCTATTACCTTTATGATGAAGTCTTGCAATTTAATATTTTCAGCGACTGTCAAGGGTCGATTCAACTCAAATTTTGATTCCGGATTCATTTGTGGACAAACTAAGGAAGCGAAGAAACGTTCAACACTGTAATAAATAATGTTTTGATTTATTGAGGTTTTCAATAAATTATATCTTCTCCTACCTGGCAATTTCCCAGCTTTAGCCAGGGTCTGCCTTACATGTTGTGAATAGTTTTGGCTAATTGTTTTTACGACCGGCCGCCTGCCAGACATCAACCCTCTTTGGGAATGTATTAATCAGTGGTATCTAAATACTCTTAGAAAGTACATATGACTCTGAAAAAATCACATTGTACCGAAATCGCGCCCTCGTGCATGAGAGGCGGGCCTTTTAAACACTAGGCCACCACTGACTTACTTTCAATAAATTATATATACTACTGTAAATAGCATATTTCTCTTTAGTTAATAAGTCTTTTTAACCAGTCATACACAGAACTAATATTACAAAAATCTTACTTTTTCAAGTTCGTTACGTTAGCATACGAAGATTTCATGTGTAAATGTGGGCAGAGAACTACGCTAGGGAACGGAACAGCCCAAATCGGTGTTGGCAAGGAGTCGATGACGTTGACGAAGGGCGTGGAGGTCCACTTGCAGACCAGTTGGATGATGTTTATGGCGCAGATACTGAGACTCAGAACCATGATGATGATCCAAGTCACACGCTCCTTCAAGCTAAATGTAGGCTCGAAGATATATCTGAAATGATTCTCATTCATTCAGGACATAAATTAAGTATGTGGCCGTAGGAGTTGATATGATTATATTATTATACTAATAATTGTTTATACTAGTAATCAAAAAGAGGATTTCTGAACATTAGAGTACTTTTCAACAAGTTGAAATCTTAGGATGTTTTTAATGTAAAATAAATTTAAAAAATTTATTATGTCCATACAGTTGGTATCCAAACAATAACTAGTTCAACATTTCTCCAAAACCTTACACTTACAAGAATGTTACCTACTTAGATAATAATTAATAAGTTAATGAAAAGTATTTCACTACAGAATAACGTTACCATCATAACCAATAATACTAGCTGTCTAACTCGATTTCACTCGCTTTTAATTAAAAAAACTAAACCTTCTATTTATAGTTCAATCAGCGAAGGGAGAGAAAGGATTATTATATATTTTGGTACTAATAAAGTGTTCCTATCTACATAGTGAGGAAAACAAATTTATACAACAAAACAGAAGAATCATCGAGTCAAAGTAATTGAGAATTTATGTCAATAAATTTTAATATACGTATATAGAGAAACCAAAGGCCAAAGCATTTGATACTGAATTAGGAGTTAAAACATTGTTATCAAACTTATATTAGATGAAACGTCATGTAATCTTTGACGCATAAACCAGATAACGCTCCAATGACTTTCTTAATCATTGAAACTTACTTGACACCGTGTAAGGAGCCTTCATAAAGGAATTGTTTGAATCCTTTCAACACTTGCCCCAGCCACAATTTCACGAACAATGTACAACCTATACTCTCTCTTCTATTGATATTTTTCGTTTTAAGAATCTCAGGACTTATGTACTTGTAGTCCTTTACGTAAAAATCTCCATAGTATTGATTGTTTCCCATTATGTCCCTTTTGTTTTTAGATCTTAGCTTAAAATTTTCCATTTTTATACCAACATCTAATTCTCTGTGTATGTCTAAAGCGTTTAAATTGTGTAACAAAGCAGGTTCTATGGCGAAACTAAGTATGCACTTTCACTAATTGTTGGCGATGCGACCGTATTTATTGGTGCTCTTGTAATTAGTAGATATCGAAGTTTATTACAGACGTTTTTAAAAGTTGTTATATGTTTAATTAGAAAATACTAGTTATCATTAGATAGTCATAGTTAAGGATTATTTATTTAAATATGAAATAAATTAGAAAAGACTTTATGAAATTCAATAAAAATTTTTAACGTTATTTTCGAAGCCATACACATTTTTGAACACCAGAAATATATTAATAGATATATATGATTTCTTTTAGGTATCAGTATATTTAAAGTCGAGTCTTTAGTCCTAGTTTCGTCATAAGAATTTCGGGTGATACAGAGCGAAGACCAGGTCGGAGCAATATTTTTTCACTTGTGCCATTTCTAGGACTATAAATACATATTTACTTTGATTTGTAACTATTTTTCACCTTTAGTTTTTGGGACAAACATTATACATTATAAACATTAAGCGGCCTCTGAATGATAAGATCAGTTTTGTGATAACTGCAAACTGCACTTAACTGTATTGGCGCAATTAAATAGATAGCAATTAGTTCCTTATTAAAATTCTATAAAGTAAAAAGAGTTGTTAAATATAACTTTTATTTTTATTTAACCACAATTTCGTCCTTGTTATGCGCAGACCCTTCTTCTGTTAGTGTACATTCATTTTTAGAATCCTAAACAATAAAGAAATCTTTCTCCATATAAATTTATTCAGATTTTTAGGTGTGTTTGTTCACCAACAAATTGTTATCCATCCAACCTCTAGCCTATAATAATTTACATTAAAATAACAAGAGAAGGATAATAAGAAGACGTGTGTTGTTTTAGATTCTTTATTTATGAGAATATATAATATGTTTTTAACAGTGTAGACTTTGACTTTTTTTGCCTTTACCCGACAGTCACAAAGAGATCACACAAAAAGAAAGGAAAGAAATACATCAAAATAATTAGAATCTAAAATACCTGTTTCATTCTTAAACAATATAAATTATTTTGCATTATTTTAAAATAGTCAAGTAAAAAATGATATAAACAAAAGTGAAATATAAATTACGAATCACATCACATATGTAGTGCAAAAGTCATTTTGGTTATTCTATGTATATGTTTTAAATGTTAACCTAATGCCTAAGTATGGGGTTGTTAGCACCATGCTTGCCAACACGTTGTCTTGTTGTCACTTTCTGTACATTTTTTATGACAAATAATTGGACTCGAAAAAGAATTGTGAAAACCACTACATGTTATTTAAAAACGAGGAATTTCTTAAAAAAAAATACTAGTATTATAAATATATTTTCCTCTTATTTATCCATTTTTTTCATATTATCCAATTCATCATATATTTTTTCCTTAAAGTATCAAAACCATTCAACTCGTTGGCTGAAGCCGTATAAAATAGTATGGTGTCAAATTACAGGACAAAAGGCTTAACAAACAGGATTTTAAATTGTTATTTTATAATAATATATCATAAACGGAAATATTATTACTTTTTATATATAAAATAAAAAATACTTTTTTTGTCTGAAATATTGTAAATTTTAAATATTTATAGAATATCTTAATATAAACAAGTAACTAAAAATGTTTTCCTCTTTTATGGCTGTAATGTTATATAAAAAATTCTCGTATTCGTATCACAAATATTAATAATTAATAACAAAATGACCAAATACTTTTTAATTACTAAAGTTTATTTTACTTAAATACTTTTAGGATTATCTAAAAAACTCATTTAAGACCAAAATTAATTACAAACATATAGCAGGCAGATTATATAAATTATAATTGAAAATTTAAGTAACTGAAATAAATTTAGATGAAACAAATTATACAAAAATAAACTACGGAATTAAACCAAAAGATTACGAAGGTAGAAAGAAGTAGAAGATAAAAAATATTTTGTTTATACTGTAATATATTATGTAATACATTGTAAAATATTGTTTAATAGCTTTCCGACCGCAGCTTCGCCCGGGTGGAGTTCGGTTATATCGCGTTTCCAAGAGATCCTTTCAAAAGTCTGGAATAAAAACTATCCTACGTTCTTTCTCAAGGTCAACTCCATCCCTGTACCAAATTTCATTAAAATCAGTTTAGTGGTTTAGGCGTGAAAGCGTAAGAGACAGACAGACATACAGACAGAGTTACTTTCGCATTTATAATATTAGTAGGGATGCAAAAGCGATTTTTTGAAGACAATAAAATTTCTTGTGATGTCACAAGCTTAGTTAACAGTCACAGTCAAGTTTGTTTATATAAAACTATGTAAGCTTCCCTAGTTAACAACTTTCCAATCAGTCACAGTTAATAAAATTATACATATATTTATTAATAAATTTAACGATATAATTTAACAATTATTAAATGTATTACAAGCTATTACATTCAGATAGTTCTTTGTTTAAAGGTCACTGTGGTCAGTACGATTGATAACACAATCATATAATATAGTGTCAATCTTCATATAACTATTAATATACAAAAAAATAAAAATGAGGAATTAAGTTTTGACTGATGATAACTCCGAAGCGAAGATTTATGCTTCTGACGTCACTATACAACACTTGATGAATTTGTTTGAACTTTCTTGATATGATATAATAAGCAATACATAAATAATAAGCTCCATAGCTTATAATAGATATAACAGCTTATAATAGATATTAAGGTAAACGTTTTGACCCAGGAATTACTTTTAAAATCTTTTTATCGAGACTTAAATCGTATGGTACTTTTTCATAAACGTTTTACCCTATATTAAACAAAGTTTCAGCTCTTTTTGCCTTGATAAACAGTTTAGTTTAAAAAATTATATACATAACAATATGCTAATGATTCATTCGTTTCAAATTTTGATAGTCATTTATTTTTTAAAATAATAACCTAGGATCTACATAACACGTAAGTATAATCCATTAAAATGTTACAATTTGAACACCGAATATTTCATTTCTAAGAAAAACAATTAATAGAATAGATTCCAAACTCATAAACTAAATGTATTAAACTTTTCAAGATATATGGACACATTTAATATCTTCTTGAACGGTATTTTATACTTTCTGGACATACCAATACTTGCTTGAAGCCTTGTACTATGACGTCACACTATGGTCACGTGACGTAATTTTAAAAGAACGAATTATCTTCCAAATATTTGAATACTAGCTTTGCTGTGACATATCTAAGCATATAATGTTTAAAATAGTACTTAAAGTTCAAATAGAATTTGATGTTATTTAATCAAATTTATCAAATGTCCTTTGTTGTTTTTCAATACTGACTTAGAGATTTAATTAAATGAAAATGTCTTTATTCGTATTATCACTATGGATATTTTTTCAACATAGATATAAATAATGGCGTATATTTTTTATAAATAACCAATAACAATATTTCATACAAAAAAAACTTCTGATAATCAAAATATCTTTACTGCGTCATAATAATAATATAATATTCCGAATATTTGTTTTTGAATAATATACATATATATATTATATAAAGTATCAAGATATTTCAGTCGCGCTATTTTCTAATATCATTAAACGGGCTACGATACCCATTGTTTAGTGACTTCCATTGTCGATACACGCGGTACACATTTTATTAACCATTAGCGCCAAAAAGCTAAATAAAAAGTATTAGATAATATTTCTTTATGTAATATTATCAAGTGTTATATATTTTTTTAATTTTTACATTTCATTATGACGCCATTAGGCAAAGCTGTTTTCTGTATGGTTTTTTTATCGCTGGTCTGTAAATGTAAGTACCTATCCGTTTTAGTAATATAACAATCAAATATTAATGTCGTTTATTTTATTATTTGATTTTTCTAATCTTCCAAGGATAATAACTTTTATCGAACCTAATTATCTTCTGTCAAAATAACACTATCATAAAAAGCAATGTGTGCCAGAATAGGTCATATAAATTTGTTTTTGTAGACAACTATTGTACATGTTTTTTCATCCAATTTTACGAAAAATTGTAAACAGAATAAATTGATGTTTCTTGCAAAATAGAAATTAATTTCAGTTACAGTTTAAGTTAATTATGATTATTAAATATCTATTCTATTCATGTCTTTAATTTATGGTCTTTATCCCTGAAATGTGCAAATATAAATTTAAGTACAAACAAGAAGGAATATGAAATTTTATTTTCCAAAAAACATGTGTTATTTTTCTTCTTCTTCTTCGTCTTCTCTTCGAAAAGACTAATTCTCAAGCTTTTTATTCCAGCGTTCAGCATCCATTGCTACTACTGCAACAGTGCAAACAACACAGCCTGCTTGGACGTTAATCAGTATGAAGATGAAGTACGCTCGAGGATCATACCAATCGTGCATTGTGAATCAGCTATACCGAGTCCAGTGGCTATGAATTTTTTCTGCAGAAAGATTGTTCAGACTAGTAAGGAAATAAATTTTTAAACACTGCTATACTAAAGCTGTAAAATAAGTTGAACTTGGTTAATTGCATAATTATTCCTTGTTCTTCTTCTTACGGGCAATTTCCCAGCTTTAGCCAGGGTCTGCCTTAAAGTATTCCTTGTTGTTAGTGTAGATTCTATAGGTTTGCCAAATGTGACATTTTCATTATTTTAACTATATAATCCCGACGTTTCTGTTCGTATACAGCAGAGTATACAGATTTCGGCAGAAATGAAAGTGCCTGTTATCACGGTTGCTGTAAATCTCGTAGCAATATAGGAATACCTTGGTTAAGTAGTCTTAAAGGTTTTGGGCATGTGACGTCATCATAGCGTGACGTCACATCCGGCCGATATATTTATAATAACAATTAATTGTAAGCTTATTAACTCTGTTTAACAAGTAAACTAAGTTATATTAGATTTTCCAATTATAAGTTTAAAACCAACCCGTCTTGTGCAAGCGTGGTTAATGCTCAAATCTTTCATGAGAGAAGAGGCCTTTGCTCAGCAGTGGGCTCTGATAGGTTGATGATGATGAATTATGTGTAATTTTGCAGTATTTCACACGTATCGCGACTCGGAGGTCCGTGTGACTCGTGGTTGCGGCTGGGTCCCTCATCACAAGGAGTGCTACAAAGACGACAACAGCGATCATTTGGGCACCGTCTGTCAATGCTTCCAAGACCTATGCAACAGTGGCGACACCGTCGACCCTACTACGGCCACCACATTATTCATAGCATTCTCCATTTGCTTGTATTTCTGGCGCTGAAATTAACAACGCATATAACTCTAAGAGCATACCTAAATCTATAATACCACCAATTTTCAAAACTCCCGGAAAACTTTCCTGGCAAACCCGTTTTTTTGCACTACAAGACTGGACTATATAGCATTTGTTTATTTAATGAATATTGGTATAAGCATTTCAATACAGACATACAATCCTTTTTTATTGAAGCAATTGAAAAGTATATTTTTGTTGCTACGAGACCAAATATTTCATATTGATCGTATCTATTTTGGTATGAATGCAAAAATAAAGTGTTAAATATATAATTTTGTTATAATTCCTCGTGTCAATAAAAGCGTGTTAGTGAGATGCAGCATCTGTATGAATGTAGATGTGGGCGGTCAGGGAAAGCCCTTTCCAGGTCACTTGCACACGCCGCTTTATTTGTGTTCCGCTTATTTAATTAAGGTAAGGACTTGGTGCCGGTAACAGCGGATTATATTCTTATATTATAATGACATTTATTAATACTTTTGATATAAAGTGTGTATTTTTTATCTGAGTGAATATTTAGTAATAATATTTTATATTAACTATCCATAACTTAGAATCTTTATATAGTTGTTTTGTTACTTATATATTTATGTAACTCGGAAAAATGATGACTTGATGTTTGTTATGTTTAAGTTGGTATATTGTTTTATTTAGACTGGATAATTCTTGGGTATTTTACCACCCTTTGGAACGCTTAAATGAAGTGGTAAGTGGTGAACGCACTATCTCACTATCAGAAAATTCACTCTTTATTTTAGCTTGTCTATGGTATAATAGAAATTGGACAATTATAATTAGGAAACGTCGACTTAAAGAGGAAAATGATTAGTTCCAAATAAATATATAACTCAAATTAAATAAAACTTAAGCTTTTTATCGACCATCAAACAGGACACACCCTAAAAATAACACGGGATCAAAAAATACAGTAAAATATGCGTTCTATGCAAAAATATCATTTCTATCTCTATTGACTCCGACTAAATAAAAAAATAATAACGTTATTGTTACCCATTTTTTAACTTTTTCAACAAGATGTCTAAATAAAGAGAATTTTTCAAGTATAACCTAGAATAATATATTTGAAATTGTAAAAAATTCTAACAATGTAGTGGTAGTAAGTAATTAATAGTATTTAGTTAATCTTTTTATATAATTTTATTTATAAATAAAAATCTATGATGAAAAAAACATTATTAAAGCACATCCTTTACATTTAAAAGACGAATAAAAACTATAGTTTTAGTTTTAACACATAATAAATGCAAAGATAGTCTCGGTCAAGTGGATATTATAAATAAAATTATAAGAATTGTACTAGGTACAGTGAATAATAACTTAGTTATAACAAAACGTAATTTGTTTTCAGCTACAGTTATTTCCGTAGCGCCCTCTGGCGGGCTTTAGTTGAGTCATCCTATTTAATACGACACAGAATTAGATTACCCAGCAACTAGTTTTATAATATCTCTTAAACGTTGAAATTGCTATGTTTAAACCGTGGCTTCGCTTGATAGAATAATGAATGGCTCATTGTTATTTAGGTTGTATAAATCAGTCAAGTTATTATACTTTATACATATACAAGCTTTGTGGTTTTATAAATGCATTAAGTTACATCGCTGGCGTAACATCTCTGTAAACTAATGTCATTATTGACGGTGCATTAAAGCTTATAATGGAAGCGAGAGGTATAACAGCCAAATCTCTCTATAACCTACTCAAAGAAAATGGCCTGTACAGAACTCACATTAATTCATTTTTAAAACATACTTCAAAGGCAGCCCTAGTAGGTTCTTTTCAAATTTAGTTAAGTATAGAGAGGAGTTCGGACAGTGGAGGTGAGCGTTTAACGCGCGTCAGATAGGGGTCCCTTAAACCTACACCTGGGTCGCAAGTCCCAGGCATTGTTGAAACTCCTCTCCCTGCAACGATGGACCCGACACCCGCACGGTGAATACATTGAATGATGAGAGGTTTGGTCTCATAATAAAACTAGTCTGTAATTGGAATACCACCTTCTCATCAGCTAAGGTTAAGAAGAACACTGGTAAACCTTGTCTTACTTAAACCTTGTTTCTTTTAAACTACTCTTAAACTTTGTTCCTTTATGCTTACAGTCATCACACTCGTAATAAAATTGGAGTAGCATCTTTAAATGCGAATTGAATGAAGTGAGAATTTATTATAAGATAGATAATTGGATTGTTTTAAAATAAGTATCATGTATAAATAGAGAAAATCTGTCTGCCTTACATTTTGTAAATAGTTTTGGCTAATTGTTTTTACGACCGGCCGCCTGCCTGACATCAACCCTCTTTGAGAATGCATTAATCAGTGATGTCTAAACACTCTTAGAAAGTACATAATATGTCTCTTAGAAAGTCATATTATGACTCGAAAAAATCACATTGGTACTTGCCCGGGCCAGGATCGAACCCACGCCCTCTTGCATGAGAGCGGGCCTTTTAACCATAAGGCCACCACTGACTACAATGGCACAATTACTTGTTTATATTTTTAAATAGAACCCTAGAATGTAGAAAGTGTAAAGAAAATTTGTTAATATCGTATAACTATAATTGGCAATGTTTTAATATGTATGAAACTTATTAATAGTTATCTCAGTCTTTCAAAAATAAACCAGTAATATAATGAGTATTCTATTTTATATCATCATCATCATCAGTCTCTTCGAAGCCCACTGCTGAGCAAAGGCCTTTTCTCACATGGAGAAGGTATGAGTAATAATCACAACGCTAGCTCAAGGCGGATTGGAAATTTCAAACTTATAATTTGAAATTATAAGTCCAGGTTTCTTAACGACGTTTTTCTTCAGTAGGTATTTGTCTAAATATTGTAATAAATATATAAATTTTTAGAAACTTCATCATACGATATACATATTAAAGATTATTTTATTATAGGTATATAAGAGAAAGGTTATATGATAGTAACATAATAATATGTAATTATAAGATTGTCTTCTTCTTCTATCTGGCAATTTCCCAGTCTTAGCCAGGGTCTGGCTTACATATTGTAAATAGTTTTGGCTAATTGTTTTAACGACCGGCCGCCTGCCTGACATCAACCCTCTTTTAAGAATAATTACATATAATTTTGTATCAAATTAAAAAAATAAACTAATAGTTCTATGTTATTTCTTCTTTAGATTTTTTCAGTACTTCAATTTGCAATATGAAGAAACATTACCAGTGTAAGTAAAGCAGTAGGTGTTAAAATATAGCTTGTGAGATAACATTCTTCTTTTTATAAAGAAAGCTTAATTTTTGTATTCAACCTATACCTACATTTTAGTAATGATATTTTTGGATGTATGATGAAGTCTTTGTTCTCTTTTAAAAAACAACAACATTTGAGTTAATAATTTAAAACTTCAATTTTGCCACCTTTTACATGTCGAATTTATGAAGCGTATTAGAAGAATAGGTACTTATACAAATTTTAATCCTCAAGTGTGGACGCCTTTTATTAATAAATAGCTCTAAAATGTATTTCTTTTCTCGTCTTTTTGTACTAACGTTACATATAATTCTACTATTATTATAAGACTGAAAGTTTGTCTGGCTGTATGTATGTTTATTGAGTTTAAAATAATAACTATTTAACGGATTTTTTTAATTTATGTTAGAAAGCTTAGATATTAGAATAAAAAATAGACAATACTTTAGTGTTAATTTTCGTGTAGTCTCTACAGTTTTCAAAATTAAGTTGTAATCGTTGTATTCGGATTAAAATCACATGACACAGACAAAAAAAGTAAGGATCTATGCTTATATTTTTAATTTTTTTCATACAACTTATATATTCGAAAAAAAACTTTATGTACTCTTTCGACTACCGGGATAGTAAAAGAATAAGTCGTTGCATGAATTTATTTAGTTAAATCTATTATAAATTACATTTAAACGAGAATTTCAAATATTAAATGGTGGAAATATTTTTTTGGATTATAAAAAATCCACCCAGCCGTTAAATATTTCCATCAATTTTACATTGAAAACGAACAGGTAACACTTATTGCGTACAATGGCGGTATTTCAAATGCCACAGATTATTAATAAAATTGACATAGCAATTTCGAACAATTATAAAAAGATTCGGCGATGTTAAATTATATTGAGCTTCAACGAGATTTTTCAATAAAAAAATAGTAAAAGGAATAACAAATAATTACAATGATTTGTCACAATTCGTCGAAGTAGATTTTAATAAAACTATGTATAATTTATAAAAAAAATACTTGTGAAAGCCCAATAACGATTTTTGATAACAATTTAAAGGATTTAACGATTTGATTAAATTAAATTTCTTTGGCGTTTCGTTTCTCACGCTCGGTGAGATTCTGTTCCAATTGTTCGCCCCTTTCAGCTTCATCCGTCATTTCTGTAATAAAATAATTAATGAGATATATTTTTCTATGAAATTTTAAATAGAAATTTAATATTGGACGATTAGGAGAACATCAACAACAATCTTGGAAGTATGGTATATCGTATTAATAGGAGTCAATAAAACAATTAGTGACGTATTTATAGGCTGCGGTTACACGAGTGGAGGTTGGCGGCTTTTAAACCGGAAGCGTTCATATAATTCGATAAAAGCCTTGAAAGGTTCAGTGTAGAAGTTAACAGGAAACAGTTAATCAATTGAAACCTAGAACATAGCCTGTATTAACACACATACACACCCAAGTACATATGTTTTTGTTTGGCTGTGTGTGTGTGTTTTATTAAAAGTTTATGTAAATTATAACAAGAAAATAAAGTTATTTAAACAAAAAGTACATATAATTAATCAATGTAAATCAAAAACAGATGACTAAGCTATACAGGGTGACTGGTGAATTACTATCGATATTTGAGGACGTGATATTTGACGATCATATATGACAAAATAAAAATTAATATAACATAAATATTAATAAACTTCTAAGTAAAGTTAACCAAAAGTTATGTAATTAATTACGCATCGTATGAACACCCTACAGATTAGGTATACACACACACACACACACTCGCGCGCGGCGGAATGTTGTTGTATCAGCACGCCGCCGCACGCGTCCACACTTGGAACACTTGGAACGTGTACACACTTTATTTATTTATACGGAAATTTTGTCAAAAATTAAGTACCTATTTTTTTACATAATTCGAATGAGAATCATGTACCGAGTACTCTCCTCAAATATTGATAGTAATTCACCAGTCACCCTGTATATTGCTAAGTTATATATGATTAGAAAAATAAATAAATTCCTTATTTGTATGTAATTTAATTGTTACCAATATCATCAGCGTGGTATGCTCTTCCTAGTCGCGGGCCGAACCACATCCCGACTTCCTTGCTCTGAGGCTCAAGACTCTGTCTCTTGATGTAATGATAAAGATCTTCTACGGACATATCTCTACCGACCCTTGGGAATGCGTATAGCTGACGTTTTGTGGATTCCGGGTCTAAAACTGATTGACCTGGTAAAAAAAATTATTATCAACTAATTTTGATATATTATGTATTATTTTTTATGTTTTTACAGCTCCGGATACGATACTTTTGAGTGATAATTATGTTGTGTGAAAATGTTGCCACCATCCGACGATAAATAGAATTGTTTCTGCACAGTTGCCATAATAATAAGAATAGTAAAATTAAACTAATTTTATCATTTAAAACAAACTTTGATGCTATGTTATATACAACCTTACGAATTCAGCAATAAGGTTTTAAATCGTGACACTCATATTTAATTAGTCTTAAAAATGTTGGGAATTATATTTATAGACTTGAGCTATGTTAAAAAAAAATACAATGACAGTGACAACTATGTTTGAATTATTAAAATGAATAAAAAAAAAACTATTTTCTGAAGTCAAATAACTTACTTGGCAGTTTTTCCTTGATAGGCAATTGCCAAGTGTGACTGGCGCGGCCAACTCTTGGGAATGGGTACAGATTGAGAACTCCATCGCGACGTAATTTGGCACTTGTATCTATAATCAATATACATTAATCAAATAATCAATGACGAATGAATGAATGAATGAAAAGAAAAGAATGAATGAAATGAGTATGTATGAAAGTTTCATGCTAAGAATTCAACTTGAAATACATCAAACTTTATATATATGAGTTATAGTTTGTCATAAAAATTGTCATTGAAACTTATTTTGATCGAGAAAGTTCTTTCTGATTTGAGTTCTGGATGTATTCACAAATGTTTATACTTTTTGTCGTATTTGTTCTACATTTCTATTATAACTTTTCTATACAATTCTTTTCTTTTTATCTCATGTTATAGGGACAGCAATAAATCTCTTTCGGGATTTTTTTCTAATATATTCTATAAAGACTGCGGTTGTAGTGACGAGTAAAAAGTACAACTTGTAAAATGATATAAAAGATTTTTGTGTGTAGGTACTTATTTAAATAAAACTAAGATTTACGGATACTACTTATGTTACAAGTGGCCCCATCTGTGCCGTACTAATTATAATATACTATAATCGTTACAAATATTTTATGATTGATTATATTTAATTATAATACTGTAACATTGTAATTTTTGTAATTGCAACATTTAAGTATCAACTTGTATTTGAAAACTATAAATAGTGGTTTCGACTATTTTGTAGGATTTTACTGGAAGTAACGCTGAACATTAAAAATCAAGACTGAAACTATACCTCTAACACTAGATAGTGTTTTTTTATTATTTTATAACTACATACTTCCGACGTTTCAGTTTCTTTCCAGCAACCGTGATCACGGGCAGATGAATGTACAACTTGTATAATTTGCACAATATATGTATAAGTAGAATTAAATATAATCGTATATTGAAAAGTAACTTTTTATACACGAAAGCAATTTTAGTTTCTCATTATACATTAAACAGATTATAAATTAGATTCTTTCAAAATATTAACTTATTAAATTAATAATTAAAGATCATTGACAAAATTTAAAACCTTTATCATTGATTTTATTTTTAATATTTTAATGAAATTTAAACCGAAATGAAATAAATAACTAAGTAGTTACTGTAGAATATAATATTACATTTTAAATATGTAAGTAAAATTTTAATTGAAGTTTGAAATACATTAACATCGAGATATTGAATCTAGTTTTGAAAATAAGATGGCAAAATTAAATAACATAATTGTTCCATTTTCTGGCTATTTTAATTATTTCTTGGCTCAGATTTACCATATCTATTATTTACTATGGATTAACAAACATTATTATTTGCTGAGGTATGTTTAAGATACGTAAAAATATATCTTACTAAAGCTGTAACTGATTTATCTTTAAAGGAAAAATACGTTTCACAATAATTCAAAAAAAAATTTGAACCTTCCTAAAAATTTCTACAAAATACAATAGATTCGTAACTATTTATATATAAGGAACAATAAATTAAAAAAATTATAATTTTCATTCCAAATTTAGAATATCATCAACTCATCATATCTCATATTATCTCATCGTATCTGACTATAAGTCATCGGACTAAATATAAACTTAAGATGAAATTTATTATGTTACTTCATTATACGGTATTAACAATCAATATTGTTGGTTATCAACTAAAAACGTAGTATTTACGTATATATGTGTATTTACGTGTCTGTTTCACGTGTACGTTGTCCTGAATGTACTTACGATAAGAGTTTGCGACTACTGAAGTGAGGAAGAAGAGGCACAGAGATGCAACGGCTATGGACTGCATTTTATACCTGACGAAATATATTATAATTAATATTATACATGATATAAGTTCTTTGGGTATGTGTGTGTGTGTGTGTGTGTGTGTGTGTGTGTGTGTGTGTGTGTGTGTGTGTGTGTGTGTGTGTGTGTGTTTATTTGGCTTTAAAACTAGATAAAGCATTAGTGGAAAAATTGAAAAAGGTCGCGTACTATTCTTAGGTTAAAGAAAATGTTCTTTTAATAGAAAATATTTAACTCGTAAACATTTAGATGAGCTTTTTTGATTACTGATTTTTTTTTCAATTGCAAATGAATTATTTTAACATGCTTAAAAAAATTATTTGAAAGAACTTAATTTTAAAAATATTATTTATCAATGAAGAAGAGAAATAACTTAAATAATAAAATATTACCGAATGTTAATAAGAAGTATTTAAACAAATAGAGCTGGTATATATAAATTAAAATGGTTTTTCTCTCCGTTGAAGAAAAAAACGAAGAAACTGTGAAAGGAAATAAAGAGTTTTTAATTTCAAATTCCTGAGTATAACCCAACTTGAATGGCTTTGTTTAACTTAAAATATTAGTACCACGGACATAACTTCAAAAAAATATTTCTATTAACAAGTTAGGCTCTACATATAACATCTCAGAAGGACATTTAAATATACTCATATAACAGAAAAAAAAACGAAAAGAAAATTTATACATACTACAATTCTAATATGAAAATACATTTTATTATAATAATTATGGAACATTCTAAAATTAATGAAGAGTCTACTATATTGTCTTTTTTATAATTGAATTAAGTTTCTATGAATTTGTGATATTAGTTGATTTTTTCTTAAGAACATGATATACAGATAAAAATAAATTAAAATATAAATGTAATAATACAAGTACATTAAATTCTTAACTTTATATTATTCGGAATTAACTTCGGTGTCGTCAAATTAGTAAACTTTTAGTATTTACATTAAAAGATCTTAAATGTTACTTACTCACTAACTTTTACTCCGAAAAGTCATTTTGTTACTACTAAAATATTTGTTCTTGACTTTCATTACATTGTTTGAAATATTTTTTTAAATATGACATCGCTGTTCGTACTAATATTTAATATATAAAAAATATTTAATATAAAATAAACTAATATATATGATGAAATAATATAAATATATATGTATAAAATTCTAATTTTATTTATATAACTTTTATTAGTATTCTTTATATATACATATATTTATTTATATATATGATGAAGACCAACTTACCGTGTCTCCGTCTCTTGATGGAATGATGTAAGGTTGATTCACCATCGCTTTTATAGTACGCGAGCTACGTAATACAGTGCTTCCCAAATATTAACACAAACCTTCAAATATAATTAATTTAATACACATATATATTTCTATAGAAAAAATAATATAAAAATAATATTATATTTACCATAATAATTTTAAATAAATAATAATTTAAACTGAAAATAATATTTTAAATAAATTTATCTACATTTCGTATTTATTCTGATTATAGGTCATTTGTAAAGGTATCATCATTATTATCAGAGCCCACTGCTGAGCAAAGGCCTCTTCTTCTTCCTTTTTCAAAGGCTTCCTATAAGTTAAAAAATATATATATATAAATATATATATATATATATATTTTCCCTCGAAAATTCATATATTTGGGAATCTCTGTCATCTGTGGTGTACAATCACGTAGATGTGCTTACAGTTAATTCATTTACATCTGTCAGTACTCTATTTTCAGGAACCAAAAGCTACAAACTAAACCACTGATAACCCTTTACACTTTATACAAATGAATGAAATTATTTATATGTTTTTAATTCCGTTTCTAAAGGAATTTTGATATTAGCTTTCTTTAGAAACAGACGTAAAATATTTTTTGTAAATATGATTGGGTATGTATTTCAAAATATTACAATATAAAGTCTTGTGAATTATTATTACATATTTACGAATTTATTTATGAAATATTATTTTTTGATAATTTTCTTTGTAAGCAACAAATTATTTTGTCTATTTTTTATAATTTAAATAAATGGCCATACTTCACATATGTATTATTTTGTTTATTTACTAATTAATTGTAAAACGACTTAAGCGTTACTTTTAAGTTAATATAATGAAAAAAAAATCATCATTATGCACTTTCAATAAAATCTTTTAATGTATAAAAATATGAAAAACACTTTAGTTTATTACAATTTAAGCAACTCTGAGTTCACGATACTTTCGTTTTGATAAAAATATATACATTTTTAATTAAAAATATTTTTATGAAGAAAATAAAAATAAATATAGTATTGACATATAGATAGCTTTTTATACATCTTACTCCAAGTTTGAATCGTCACACTATATACGATGCGTTAACAGTTTTTCATAAAAAAAAAATTCGCACATTATAGAAAATAAGTACGTATTTCATTCTTAGAATGTACTTCGAAGGCCGCCTTAGTAGGTGCTTTTCAAATTTAGTTAGGTAGAGAGGTGAGCGTATAACGCGTTAGATAGGGCCCCTTAAACCTACACCTGGGTCGCAAGTCCCAGGGTATGTTGAAGCTCCTCTCACTACAACGCGATGGTTGTGTATAACCAAACTAATGTTTTAGCTATCTTTTGTCTGAGTTACATACTTTTATCTCCATAAATAACTATTGGAATAAAAAGGATAAAGAATTTACAATAATCAAAAAAAAAGATTATTTACAAAAATACTCAGTCTAATGTATGTTTGTCTATTTGTATGGATCTATATACAAGACAGAAATAATTAAATAATATTACTCAGAATATTAGGTATTCTTATTTATATAAATATATTAAGGACATTATTTATTTTCAATTAGTCACGATTGAAAAACTTATTTTCAGAATTTATTGATTAATTCAAGTTTATGAGAAACAATTTTACATAAATATTTAAAGTGTAGTGTAGTCAGTGGTGGCTTAGTGGTTAAAAGGCCCGCTTCTCATGCACGAGGGCGCGGGTTCGATCCTGGCACGGGCAAATACTAATGTGATTTTTCCGAGTCATATGTACTTTCTAAGAGTATTTAGACATCACTGATTAAAGCATTCCCGAAGAGAGTTGATGTCAGGCAGGCGGCCGGTCGTAAAAACAATTAGCCAAAACTATTCACATCATGTTAGGCAGACCCTGGCTAAAGCTGAGAAATTGCCAGGTAGAATAAGATTTAAAGTGTAGTAATAGTAATATAGTAATTAGTTAAATTAATCAAAATATATATTACCTATTTTATTGTTTATTATTAACATACAATTACTTATACAACATCATCTTTTATGGAATATTGATGGGATATATACATACATATGATATGTATATCCAAACAATTATAAACATTTTTCTATTGACTGAACAAATCGAAGTAAAGCTTTTAAGAATACGTCAATCATAATTTATGATACACGATACTTTATAAGACAATTCAAAATCAAACGGGAAGATTATCAATAATTTTGTTTGCAAATATTAACTGTGAGTTTAAATTAACTGTGAAATATGTTAATTTAACCAACTAAGGTTAACTCCGTCAAAGGTTTTAGATAGTCGGGGACGTATCAATTAGTATATCTCAAAACTAAGTAATATATTAACAACTAGCTTTCCGCCCGCAGCTTCGCCCGCGTGGAGTTCGGTTATATCGTGTTTCCAAGAGAACCTTTGCAAATTCTTGAATAAAAACTATTCTATGTTCTTTCTCAATGTCAACTCTATCTCTGTACCAAATTTCATTAAAATCAGTTCAATGGTTTTGGCGTGAAAGCGTAACAGACAGAGTTACTTTCGCATTTATAATATTAGTAGGGATTTGAAGATATGTTTTCTTAATAAAGCGTTGTAGTTTGCATCAATTCAATTAAAAACTTAGTTTTTACAAGTGAAACTATTAATATTTTGTTTAAAGACGAAATCTTATATATATTTTCTATACTAAAATTGGATTTCAGATAAAAATTATAATAAAAAAAACCATATTCAAGATTAAGAACAGCTTTAGTAAATTGGAGTGTCCAATATTAATTTACTCCGGGTCGAAAATATGAGGACAAATTAAAATAGGAAAATTTTTTTGGTGATGAAACCTCGGCGTTACCGGCTTTATTACTTTCATATTTTGTTGTGATTTTATAAAAATTACTTAAAATAATGTTCCTCAATGATGAGATTTAAGTCTTGAAGGTTAAGAGAAATTATTAAAATTGTCACAGATGCTTTTAGTAATATTATACTCACTATCATTGAGTGAAAAATTTATTATCTACTAGCTTCCCGCCCGCAGCTTCGCCCGCTTGGAGTTCGGTTATATCGCGTTTCCAAGAGAACCTTTCAAAAGTCTGGGATAAAAGCTATCCTATGTTCTTTCTCAAGTACAACTCTATCTCTGTACCAAATTTCATTAAAATCAGTTCAGTATGTAGGCGTGAAAGCGTAACAGACAGACAGAGATACTTTAGCATTTATAATATTAGTAGGGATATAAATAAATAAAAATGGAGTTTGGAAATAACCGTTAATATTACATGCATGTAAATATGTGTAAGGTACTTACACCAAAATATTTTTTTTACAATTTTTGTCTGTCTGTTTGTTCCGGATAATCTCTGAAATGGCTGGACCGATTGTGACGGAACTTTTACTGGCAGGTAACTGATGTAATAAAGAGTAACTTAGGCTACTTTTATTCCCGATCCCGAATTAAAGTGTCTTCACGCGCGTGGGATTCAGGACTCACGCGGCACTTTAAAGTTTATACATTGTTTATTTTTCCAATGTTTTCCTTAATAAGTCGCAATTAACAGCTAGTTCTACCATAAATTTAATATTACTTGTAATAAAATTTTATGTTTTATTAATAAAAAAAATATATATGTTTATTAAATATTTATTCTTTTGTGAGTATTTCATTTGGACATATAAAATGACGAAACAAATTGTGAGTGAGTGTTCTGTGTACGTGATCTG